AATGGTGGCTTTTAAGGGACATCACAACTCATGAAATTAATGCCAATCTTCCGACAAAAAATGCAAAAGTATCATGAATACTGAGGCAATATTCAATTTTGAAAATTTCACGTTTTATGCACGGTGAAAATTGCTTGTCACTTTTTGTGTATGACGCACAGTTTCTCAAGTTTCTCTTGAAATGCTCTCTCAACAGAGCGTAACACGTCACTGGAAACATGCTCCAGACGTCAGCAAAGGGCAGAATCGTTTGGAGTGGTTTATAATTGAAGGTTTCCATTATAGGACCTTTCCCTGTGATGTAGGACTCTAGAATATGATTTAGGCTCAGCATCGAAATAAACAAGACTACCATTGACTGGATGAGTAGCCTCAACAATCTTGAAACAAGATTTTTTTTAACCATCTTTTCAGTGTAGAGTGCATAACATAATGACCTTGGTTGAATTTTCCTGCAAAGATTATCAACCTTTTTGCAGTCACTTTATACGCTAAGTCGACTTAAAGTGTCATGTTTTCCCAGCTAGCTGAGAACACCTCCATCTAGTGTCGTCACTTACCTTCAATAATATGCCAGACGAACAATCTCCTTGAAATGCTTTCAATTGATTGTAACACATCACAAAAACTACCGGTACCCAAGACAACCAACTTGCATGACGTCAGCACAAGACAGAATCATTTACATTTTTAAAACTTGAAGTTTCGTGTTATAAGGCTTCATGTAATATGTATTCTTGTTTTTCTTTTTGTGCTTGCATTTCATTTCTATTTCTTTTTTAATTAATTTCATTGTCAGGGGTTTAGGTATACACATCTTTGGATGACATTGTTTAATATTTGTTTTCCCAAACAGCCCCTGAATAACCTTTATTGTTTTGTATCTAAAGATTGATAAGAAATAAATAAGTAGGATAGTGACCAGAATGGCATTTTGCACTTAGCATTGAAAGAGCCTACTAGATGAACGTGTAATTTGCTTGGAAATTCTGGTAGGAATATCCTTGACAACTCTGGCATTTTTGTGGGGCGGATAAAATTTTCCTGCAAAGATGGTCGCATTTGCAGTTAGTCCCCTAACGTGCGGGAATTTTGTAATCCAGTCAATAATTTCATCCATAATACATCAAATTTAAGGCGCCAGGTTTGGCAAAATGTCCCTAAGTTACAGATAAGCTTTTTCCCACCTTAATCCTAAAGGAGTCGGGCTTTTCCCGACCACGTTTCAGCCGCGAGAGGCTGGATTCTGCTTTCCCCCCCCCCCAGAACTCGGCTGTCACAGTATGCCTGTGCAGTTACTGTATGCTATTTTGCGTTTAACTGTAAAATTCAGTATAATCCGATCGATTGGTTAGTTTACACGGCTGTTTAAAGTTCATGACCTAACGCATGTTTGCCTGTCTACACATGAATGAAAAAAATACACATTGTGGCGGACGTGTCCAGGTAAATGGATGCTTTAGCCAGAACGGTACGTCAGATTTGGACAAAATGGCTGCCGAAATAACTACAAGACATTGAGGGGGCCAATTCCGCCCCCAACTCCTTTAGAGTTAAAACCTTATGCCTTTTGCTCGTTGGCACGCTAATCTCCATGGTATGGGGCACCTGTTTTTTTCTGGGGGGGGGACCTGCATATCAATGTACACAAAAAATGAATCAAGCCCTGTTTTCCAACGTGTTTGCTCGCCTTCTGTGAACTGCGACGAAGCTGCTTATTTGACTTCCTTGTTAATGATTCTGAGACATTATCACACGGTAGTGCAGCTCAGTTAGTGGATTTACTGAGATTTTGAATTTAGAAATAAACGTGGTACTGTTGCTATACACAATTTTCAATCCCATGTTAAGGGCCTTCCACGCAAGAGTTCCCTCTTTAAGTGGGAGAGTAAACTCACACAGGAATAGGCTCATTGTCAACGTGATTCCTACCTTTTGGATGAAGACAGTCTTGCCAAAACCTACTTCAACGTCACGTTCAACAGGCAGTAGAGGCTATTTCCCACCACGCTTCACATCAGCAGGACTGGCCTTAGGCGTCTACATGACCCTCTAAGCATAAAGTGTAATCCGCTTTCCCCCTCACACGCTATGCATGCAATGACTCCCAGGGTTACTAATCAGTATTGTTACACCGTGACACTCTGGAAACCTCTTTTCTTTACCTTTCATAATGATTTTCCTGAAAAAAGAGATACTCCAACGTGTTACGTGATTGTAAAGGTTTAGAGATCTCCGACTAAGTCTGTATGTCGGGTCTGTCACGTAGGAACCGAAGATCAACTTCTTGTCATCACCAAATGCTATTTTGGACTTTTTGGAAAAACCCTGGGAAAACCACCATTGCCACTGACGTCTAACGTTGACAACGGAAACCCGGAATTCGTTTTTTGCTATCGCTGCCTACGGTGGCTTTCAAGTACACAGCAAATCAAAACAATTACGTCAATACCCCATACAAAAATGCAGGACTTTCCGCATATCTTGAATATTGACACAGTATTTAGTCGAAAATTAATCTAATTAAGTGTCACTCTTGTATTCCTGGCAAGTTGAAAAGGTCTTGTGAGGGAGCAAATTGTGGTATACTTGATGTGATTTGGCAATATGCCAGATAAATAATTATTCTCAATTTTAAATGCATGTCACACATAACCCTACTCCGGAGGACCAACATGCATGAATTCAGCAAAATACATAATTATTTTGAACGGTTTATAATTGAAGAATTACATAATATTAAGCAAGTCAATCCACTTCATTCATAGCAAATCAATTTAAGGCGCCATTTTTTTTTCAAAATGTTTCTGGTTTACAGATAGGCTTAAGCTCAATCAAGTTTTATAAACTTGAACTCTAAACTAGCCGAGCTTTTCCGGACCATCTTTAAGCTGGAGTAGGTTGCATTCTGCTCTTCCCACAGATCTCGGCTGTCACATTTTAATTTTTTTCACTTAGTATTAAAGCACTGATATTGCATGTTATTTTGCGTCTATCTGTAAAGTTTCAAGTTAATCCAATAAATTGTGTGGGTTATACGGTCGTTTGAAGTTCAAAGCCTCAGGCATGCCTGTATGTGCAAAGAGCGCGTGAATTGAAAGAGTTTTTGCCTAACCTTTTCCATAGAAAATGGGTGTTCAGCGAGAATGATACGTCACATTTGCGTCAGACAATATGCTGTAGATGTGAATGATGTTTAATAGACCCTAGTTTCCATCGTCGTTGCTCGCTTTCTATGAAACTGCTAAGGGTCAGCTAACGTTTGTGAAAAACATTTTTCCTTGTAAAGAAATTTATGTCAATCAACAACACACAGTGGGGCAGCTCAGTTTCTGGTTGGATGTACTCCTAGTTTGTATTATTTATTGTTCTTTCTAGAACTTGTGACTAGGCTCGGACTCTGGCTGTTTTTGACTCGGACTCCTCGCCATATTTAACCACTTCCTGTCAGGAATTCCGGTACCGGACACCTATGCTTTTTTATTTACTAAGAGACCCCTTTTTAAGTTACACTAATGTTGGTGGTGTAGAATGATTACAGGCATAGCAAGTGACCGATTTGACAGTTGTCTGGTCCGTGCCGCGTCAACACGTTCTACATAGTCCTTCACAGCTGGACTCGGACTTTGCTTGGACTAGAGAATTTGGACTCGGACTTGAGCCGGACTCGGACAAAATATGGACTCGGCTTGGCTAGGACTCGGATTAATGGACACGAATAAGAGATATTTAATGTTCATTATTTGGTACTCATCCATTGGGGATTTCGTTCTGTTTTCAGACGTGTGCTCTTCAAACTGGTAGTTTCCTAACTTGAGATTTTCATTAGAATAATTTTCCTGCACCAACTGGACCCTCAAGTGCGACTTATGAAGACCCATTAAAGTCATAATTTCATATTTCAAATGAACTTCCCAACACGTAAATTTGGGCTTTCATTGTGTATTCTAATCTAACGTGATCTGATTAACTACTTATGGTGCAAACACACGCTTGCTAAAGAAGAGGATTAAATCCAATCTGATTGTGCACACAGTTAGCAGGTGCTTAATAATACGAGTCTTTGGCACACTTCTGGGCGTTCATGTCGCTGAAAGATACTAAGTGAAAGTCATCATTGGAAGACGAGGTCACGGCACGCCTTTGACCTTTTTCTGTTAAAATCGACCATCACCGTGTACCTTATACCATGTGGCTCTGAAAAAATGAATCCATAACTTCGTAACCCCTTCCAGTGAGAAGGTATTTCAGAAACTCCCGCGAAAAAGGGCATGCCTGTAATTATGCTTCCACTTCAGTGGTCGAAGTGGATTCCCAGCAAAGTTTGCCACAGATGTTGCTGAGAACCTTGTAAACAGGGAGTTGCGATGTGAGTGTCACCCTTGTTGGAAACTAGAAGGTGTAAGCGCCATAAACAGTTAATTGGTGTCCCTGCATAATTCAATATCATAACGAACAGCCATTTTGTTTCCAAAATCTGCAGCTGGCCCTTCTTTCACCATACACAGCTTTGATGCTGCTTAGACCGAATGCTAATCATGCTGCATGCTCCTTCCCTGTCGACCTCTGTTTGCTTTCAGCTCTACACAAGTCGATAGTAACACACGGAAATCGGGTAATGGGAAAACCTCACAATGTTCCTGGCATCTGACCAGGCAAATTGCATGTTCACGTCCTCACTCTGCCCACTGACTGTTGCATAAAATTTATATTCATTTGCACATGCAAGGCATTGGACGAGATTTTATTGGAGTCCAAATTTTTGTAGCACACAGCCACGAGTGCACTGCACATCATTAGCGATGTCAGCCTTATAGGTATCCACGGGAGAGCGAACGGAAATGAACCAGGCTCTATCACCGTTGCAACGGTACGACACCACTCTTTACTCCAGTCATCGACGCTTCCGAGTGACAATGGGCGTACAAGCTGCGAGCGAAGCGAGACATGGCAAAACAGAGAGCCTTTTTAGTTGCAAAATATTAGACGGATAGGCAGGATCTTGACACGAGTGTTTTATTTGCGAATATGATTTATTAAATAGACAAAAGGAAACACACCAACAGATTTCATAAACAACTTGTATGGGGGGAAAATCTGGGAACACAAAGGTAGTAATTAACAAAAGTTTCTACAATAATTTCTTTTTTTGACGGACAGGAAGGGATCGTAAAATGGTTTTTGATCTGTTGGCATTTTCTTTTTTAATTTCGAGTTCCGCTGTGTGTCGAGTGACTCTCTGTGTGTTAAAGGTGAAACTTTCGTCAATCAGTTGTGTTGTCCTCGTGTTCAGTTATCGAAACATGCAAAAGGAGAATTAATCAGTTGTAAAACAAGCTATTTCTTCATACTGTTAAAATTTAACTTGTGGGTCGTTGCAGTATTTTCAATCGGCGACTATCCTACAGGTTACATGATCCTTTATGCTCAAACCTGTTCCATTACCATTACACATTCATTTAGCTGATCAGTTAAAACGCATTTAAAGAAAGTGAATATGCCACTGGACTGAGTATAGAATGCTATAGCTGCTTTAAAAAACTTGTTTAACTACGAAACTGCCAATACCTCTTAACCATAGGTCACGAGTTTTGCATAGAATTACAGAGGGCACGTGAAAGAAACTGCATAAAATAGCCGGCTTTAACAATCTGGTTCAATACTAACCTATTATTCTTTGCTTTACATAGCAAACAAAGCTACACAGCCGACAGATGTACCATAACTTCACCTGTTTTGATGCTAGTTGATTTTTTCAAGTTCCCTTTGTTAGTTCGTTTTTACATTTTGCTATGTTCACTTTTAACTATCTTTTAGCTACCAAAGAGCTTATACATGTATATTTATTTGATTTGCGACAGTAAGAACTATTCAATGAAGCTATTAAGTAAAAACACTGCGTTACGTACTATCAATTTTTATGCCTTTGTTTTTACAACTGCAAATGCGATGCGTTTCTGGAAATTGATTTCAAACTGTTCTTTGTACACCGTTTTGTACAACAGTGTACACCGTTGGTAAAAATCCCAAAAATCGGACTACCTTATACCCAATCCTCAAATATCTTATTTGAAAGAAAGTGCATAACATTTTCAATGAATCTGTGAAATATTTCCGCCAAAAACTCTTTAGCTTTGGAGAAAAAAGAAATCTTGCTCTTGTTTTTTTACGATGGTCGGTCGACCATCGTATAACTTAGAGTTCATTTCACTTCGCACATCACTTGCTTAACAGGCGCCAATTTTCTTGTGTGCAGTATTTGCAAATGTTGTGGGCGTCTCCGTTAATGAACGGGTAAACGCAAAAGCTGCTTAAAATATACGGACAGAAATTCACCAAAAGCATTGTAAACCGATATTATAGGAAGCTGAGTGTAAGGTGAAAAAACAAACTGGATCAGTGTGAACTTAAACATTATTTAAGGAAAGGGTTTTCTTAACACGAAAACGTTTCGAATTCAAAATCGCCCTTAGAGCATAATGGAATGATCCAAATATGACGGTTGTTCCAAGCAGATTGGTATAAGGCATTTTTGTCAACAAAAAGTACAATTTCCACACATCAAACCTCTTGTGTTTCCGACGTAATTTCTTCTTTGTTCATAATTATTAGTTAATCAACTATAAGAATGGAGGTTTCAGACTTTCATCGACTTGTTAACTGGCGTGGAAATGCAGTCATAAAGCACAATCGCGCGTACGTACATTAGCATATATGCCTACTCGTTCACGGACACGAGTCGACTGCGTTCCTGGATGAAGTTTTTCCATGAATCCACAATGCTACATTGTCAAGGAGGCGCATTACTACAAGGTAAATTTGATTTTTTTATTACTCCTAGCCGATGAAACTGTCACTTTTTAAGGGAATGAGAACCTGTCACGCCAGTTTTCCACCCTGAACACGCGGATGTTGTATTACTACGAACTCCCTGTCATCGGTAGATTTTACGCCAGATAAATTAAAAGACCTTCAATTTAGAGTTGAACATGCCGCGCTGTTTTTCTCGATTTCTCACACAGCAGGCGACTCAAACTTGAAACAAGTCAGTGGATTGTAAGTTGCATTGAATATAACACACCGTAATTAGCCAATCTTGTGAAATTTCGACAAAAAACCCAATGGTCTTCACAACTTTTATGAGGCCATGAAATTGAGTGACTTCCGTGCTGATGACAAATAAAAGATAATCCTCTTAAAATTTTAACAATTTTGAAAAGACACAAATATAACCCGGGCAAAACGATTTCAGCTGTTGTATTAATATTAAACTTCAAAGCATAGATACCATCATGGCTGTAGGTTGTTATCCGACGTCATGTTGATGTCAGTATCCGTGTTACCGTACATTTGAGGCATAGCTAAGTCCGTAATGAACATGTGTTGATGAACGTGAACTCATAATGTAGAGCAGTGGAATAGAGTAAATCTACAGAGAAAGATCTGATGAGAAAGTGTCTTGATGTGATATGATGAAGATTGATTAAAGGCAAATTTTCGGTTTGCGTACTGTACGCACTGGCTTGAACCCCCCTCCCTTCCTGTTCGCATGGTGTATGCAACGGCACCAAGCCCCACCCCTTCGTGCATATGTACTTTATGGACGGCCCCGTAGTGCGAGAACCAGGGTCTGAACTCCGTTCGTGTGCATTACACTTCAGGTTCAAATCAACGGACGATATAAACAGAGATGTTCAACTGCGAGCTGCTCTAGCGCAGAAACACATCCTATCCCTGAATCATGCGTGTTACGGACTGTTCTCGACTTTTCTTGAGGAAACTCACCACCATAATTATGACACGCGTTAGTCATAGCTTTTAATTTACGCGTTTTGTTTGACGAACCATTTTTTTTTATTTATCACTTTTAAAGAGAATGAAATACGTGTAGAAGTTTCGATTAGGTTTATGACTTTCTTCCTTGCCTCCCAAAATGAAATTTGGCAGTTTGATTTTCATAATAATCCTTTGAGCACTCGTGATTGGGGCTGTAATTTTGAATTCACAAGTTTTGACAATTGACGTTTCAATCCAATTATAAAAGGTTATACTCTGACAGCAAACACTGAAACATTAATTAAAAAGGAAAGAAAATGGCGGAAAGGTAATCTACTCGCAAGGAATGAAGGGGGTTATGACTGCAGCTTCGCGTTTGTGATATCATTATTCATCAAAAACAGTAATCTTTCATGGCTGAAGGTGTATGTAATCCGGTGTTATGTTAATGTATTTTGTTGACCGTAACGCGCAACGAACCAGCTCTAGGCTCAACTAAAATCGCACATTCCTGTGTACATTGTTTGTGTTTAAATGTAGTCACGTTTCGGTGCTCTGTAGGCACGAACGGTTAATAATTCTATTGCTTCAAATCATTTGTCGGCCTTCTTTGTAGAATGTCAGTACAGTAATGCAAAAATGTAGTTTTAGTTTAAGACCAAGTGATGTAACGAAAACATTCACTATTAAGTAGATTAAATCTGCTCAACCTTGATGCTTTCTTAGGGAAGACACTCTAATCTTGCGGCTATATGAGCACATTTTTACTGGACTTTGCAGCCTTTTCCTTTTTCGGTGTACACCTGTGCATATCTGCAATGAAAGGAAGGAGGAAAGTAATTCATATATATTTGTTTTCCTTGATCTAAGAAAAGGTAGCAATTATTATTATTCTCGAATAAAATAGTCACTTTAAGTCCTGACAAAAGGTTCATTATTTTACTATATAATTTGCAGTTTTATCGACGATGACTGGGTCTGAAGTGGCTGCATAATTATAGTTTGTCAATGTACAACCTCACATTAAAACGGATCACTTATTTGCGGTTGAGCTAGACTTACTGTTTATTCTGTAAATCTTCCCTCGTACGGGCTTTTTCGCTCGGATCAAGGCTGTGGAGGTAGTCCGAGATGTTGCTGTCCTTGCTGTTCTTATTTCCTGGTTCTGATCTGAAGTGAGAACTTGGGATGAATTCTCCCTCGCGTGTCCTTGCACCGTGACGCACTAGGACCTCTATGCATTTATGGTGGTTTTCTTCAACGGCCAGGTCTAGTGCGGTCTGCCCCATTTCCGTGAGAGCGTTGATGTTGCAGTTTTTCTTAAAGCCACAAAATGAGAGTTTTGGATATTGGAAATATCTTACGCCTTGTTTTAATGTATCCAGTACCAGGCAAAACTCAGCTTTATTTGTTGCCAATTTGTGTGCCAATATCAGTTGAAAAATTAAGTATACTGCTATAAGAGAGGATGCTTTAGAGAACTTCTCATTACAAGTATTACTACGAGTCTCTTTGGACTTGTGGTATCCGAAATGTCTGATCGCCAAAAAACTTCCGACAAGAATATTGCATTTTTCGGTTTTGAACGACCGTTGTTCCTTTTCATAACACTGCAAGTTCCAAAATGGAAAGACGTGTCCTGTGCCTCCATGGATAACTCGGGAACAGCGTTTTCCAGACGGAAGGAGAGCGAATTTCCATCGGGAAAACGCGATGTTCAACAAGGAATGTTCCGACTTCGTTCCCCTAGTCTCACCTGCTTCAAAAGTGTTTCTACTACGTCGGTGTGGTCGTTGACGGCCGCAATGTGTAGCGCTGTAAACCCGTCTTCTTTGGCAATGTTGATCATGGATGGTGCAACTTTCAGAATGTTCTCGACGGCACTTAAGGATTTTAAGGGCATTTGAAAAGAAGACAAATTCATGGTTTACAGTTATATCGAACAGTAGCTTTGTTTAAAAGGCAACTAGATGGTGTGCACAGAATAGACTTTCATTTATGTAACATTTAAATTAATGGCGATATTAACTATTCATTTTAGGGACTTGAGATCAGAAATAGAAACAGTGAAACAAGATGTCGTGACAAATTAGCACAGGTAAACTGATGAAAAAAATAAGCAGTTATACGTAATTCTAGTGTTTTAACCTTATTTTGAAAAGAACGAAATGAAGACTGTAAATGCACGCCATCATAAAACAGTGTAGTACAGTTCAAAACAACGCTTTACAACTTATATCTAAATCCATTGAACAGCACTGAATATGATATCCTTGTGAATAAGGTCTATGGAGAACATTATAAATTCTCACCGCTTTTGTCCATGAAGAGCTGCATGGTGTAAGCAGTTGAACCCTTTGTTATTTTGCAATCTGAGATCATCTGCTGTCATGTGTTGGATCAACATCTCTGTCATCGACTGGTTGAACTCTGCTTGCCCGATTGCAAAGAACAGTGGTGTATCTCCATCAATGTCCTGTCGACACATGAGGTAAAAAGTATAAGAAAGGAAGCTGTTTGGAAATACTGAGGAGGGGCATGGCATTTTGTTGGAGTCATTTCCTAAGAACATTGGAATGAACACTTACAAAGAGTGATCACAGACTGCAAACTTGTAAATGTTGGAATCGACACGTCAGTTTTTGGTGTGTAAAGTTCGCCGCTTTTTCTATGGTTCGAGTTTACATAGAAAAGGGAGCTTATAACGGTTGGTCAAGGATAAAACGTTGCTGCTTCCTAACTTATTGCATGTGTATTACAACTGACCAGTCAGGAAAATATGAACAAAAATTACTGATCTTTACTGTTATTTGTATTTAAATCCCCAAATGCGCCATGAATACCTCAAGTGCATGACAGCACTTTTCTGAAGTGTTTCACGAAATAGCATCAATGCTGGAAACAAATGCACCTTTTGAAAAACCAGTGATGGGTTTCAAAGAGTTCGGAACGTTTTCAAATGAAACTATTAGGCAAACAGAGCTTTAAAACCAGGTCATTGACTGTTGGTCATTTGGGGTTTGGCGCATACTGTTCAAGCTGGAATTCAGGCTTGTTTGCTGGAATAAATATATGTGCATGTACAAGGCTGGTGCTTCTGTACACACGTAAGTGGCACGGAAATGCTGGTTTAAACCCTTTCTCTCAGTAATTCTTATAAATATGGGACACACATACAAGCAATTGCAAGTACACTGTATTCAGTTCAGTTGGATATCTCACTCTATAGAGCAAAATCTGCGTGATACCATTTGGCTGATCATTGTGAAAAGGCCATTATTGAGAAGAGCATGAACCGACTTACTTGGTTTTTGACGAGTCTCTGGTCGTGGTTCAGCAGCACCTCTGCGCAAGTCGCATCACAGTGGCCCATGGACAGATGGAGCGGGGTAAGTCCATTTTCGTCTGACGAGTTTGGATCACTTCCCACGAGAAGAAGAAACTGAACAACATGCGGATTGTTTCTGTCGTATAATACGAAGTGAAAACAAAATATAAATTATTAAAATGCTTTAGAGTGATTAAGTGGCTTTAAATATGAGTTTTATTTAGTAAGTGAAATGTTTAATTTATCAAAGTTAAGCTCAAGCCTCCCTGTTTGTTTTCTGAGGGTATCAGGTGTGACATGTAATATTATCGTCCGTTAACCCTGAAGGAGCCGTTTTTCAGTCCATATTTCCATGCCACAATCGGGGTGGAATCCAACCCGAGGAGCTCGGTTGTTCCATTTCGAAACTCAGCCATGCATGTGAAAATATTCACTTGTGGTGTTCTGTACACACAAAAGTGCGAGTCGTGTGATAGTGACAATATACTTTTAATTTACACTTCGAAAGAGCACCTAATTATTTATATTTTTGTTTTGTTTTTTTTTTTTTCATTTTACATGTAGTAAATAAAATCTACTCAATGGAATCGGAGATTTACATATTCTGCACACTATTTACAGACCTGCTTGCTCCTTTCTGAGGTCAGGCAGTACCACACAATAGATAAAAATGTACTTAAATGAGCCCACAGTTCATTTAAATTTCTAATGTATTATGTGGTGATAACTGACCTCAGGAAGGACGATAGGTTGGAGGGTATGCATTCATTGCTACGCGTAGATATATACTACTGTTGCTACAAGTGAGTCTTGCTCAGAACCAGGAAGCATTGTTTAGCCTTATGACGTGTGGGTTAGGTGTTGTTCTTAAATTTCGTGAGTGAATTTTATCACCTATGCTCATTAAGTATAGTGTCACTCTATGGAAGCGACTCACCCCATGACAGCAAATGCGAGGGCGGTATCCCCGTCTTTGTCCTGTTGTTCTAGAGAAGACTTCCCCTCTGTCAGAGCGATCACAATATCGAGATGCCCGCGATGAGAGGCTGCTTGAAGTGCGGTAATGCCGCATTCGTTCTGATACTTCACCTGGGAGTTGGTAGGTGTATATGTGGGTTTTGATTAGACCGGTTTGTAGGTGATACGTGAGCATGTAAGTCAGCTGCTTACTTGGTTGCTTAGTTGCTCCATTTTTAAAATGCATCTCCGTGACTCTCTACGCCATCATTTCATTTACTTTATTTGAGAACGGTATCCTCAGTTTTGTTATGTGACGAACGTAGTTACTAGACCTAGAGTTTTCTCTTGTTCTGAGAACCAGACTAATTGACGTCGGGCATTTGCGATTATGCACGATCCTGAATTATTGTACCACATTTTGAAACTATCCCCTCGTCTTTGCATGGAATTCTGCAAGCATCTTTATTGTTCTTGATTTTGTATCAATCTGATCAGTTGATATTCACAACAGCTGGTAGGCCTGATCTGACATAGACTTTTGGGGATAAAGTGATCAGGTGCACTTCATTTTACATAGTCAGTAAACCTGTGTGTTTACTAGGCAGGTGAAACTTCTATCCCAAACGACTAATTTTTATCAAACAGAAGCACTGTTCATTTCTGATGGCTGTCTTACCGCGTCTGGATATTTGCTGATAGTTTCTTTCACTGTATTTATGTCCCCGCAGGCTGCGCTCCTAAAAAGAGTTTTGCCTCCTTCCACTACTTTCAGAGAGATATGTACAGGAGAAACACATTTTATAACACAAAAAACTGATATTGCTATAATGTACTTTCACGAGGGCTACCCATATTTAGTTTCAATCTAATGTATCCATATCTGCTCGTGTTTAGTATTCGTCTTCTGGATAAAATCGTTTTCATATTTCCATTCTATGAATAATTATGGGACGCATTTCATTTTGTTTTGTCAGTAGAAGAGAGAAACAAATGTAGCCAAACCTGATGTTTGGATGTAATCAGATGAAGTCTTTTTCTGAAGACATCGGGGATTGTAGAAATACAGAGATCTGCCGAATTGGACTAGGACATCCCCGTCGTCGTGAATAAGCTTCACCTCGCCAGTTCTCCCCTTAAACTGGAGACAGTTTTAACAAATATATACCCGATGAAAAATTTAAGACATTCCTGCACAAGACGAGATGTTGCAAACCTTAAGAAGCTGCATTCTGTTGCGTCAATGCAATGCTACTGTAACAGGAGATCAATTCTGATCGAAGCATGTAAATGCTGAAGAAAAAAGGAATTGTGAAAACGTGAAGTGTTGACTATTTTCAGTTTAAAATGCTAAGTAAGATATTCTTAAAGTTGCAGATCCCAGTCTTAAAAGTGTGTGCTAGCAAAATTTTACGCTTACTTAAGTAGGCATGTTTAATGTATCGTGGTTAAATATTCTAATTAATGAATCATACAGCTGTTGTGTGAAATTAAGGCAGAATACGATGTTGAACCCGGTAGTGCTGCAATCCCTAAAAGCTGATGGATCACTGCAGAATTCACGTTCTCTGGAACTAAATAAATTTTGCGGATTCTATCTTGGGGTAAAATAAACAGGGGAAATGGCCTTTCGTTGCTTTATGCTAAACATCCATTCTTCTAACTTACATTTTTCATCTCGTCTTTCCAGCCGCACCGTTTCTCTTGCAATTCCATCAGCTGCACTAAATCCATGTCCATCAAGCGAACTTTCTCACCGACTGCAAAATGAGGACTCGTTTTCACATCTGTCGAGACACAAAGATGAAATCGGTGAGCCAGTTTGGTGTTTTCGAAAAGAGCAAGATCATTCGAAAACAAACCCAAGCATACTGGTCTGCAGGCCTTGCATGCTTATTGATGTTCCCAAATGACTTGGGAAGTGCTTCATTGTTGCATGGGCAGTATTTTGTGCCTATTCTGGTTTCAGGGTAGACCCTCTGTAGAGCAGCTTCCATGAAAGAATATATAGTTGTACTGACGTTATCACTGCTGCGTCCATGTTTATGGCCTATACAGGACAGGGCTAGTTTCAACATAGTGGACAACTAATCCATACCTTGTATACGTGATTTTGATGGGAAGCTCATGTTCAGCATTGGAAGGTGTTCGATGAAGAATTCGCCATTGCTTCCTTTCTCCGTGTACTGTAAATCCATCTTCCCTTCTTTACCACACGTGTAAACGTTGGAGTTCCCTGGAGACCACTGCACCCTCACTAACGAACGATAGGAATTGTCGGCGCCGTACATATCACTTACTGTTCCAATGGTTCCTACCCCTCCTAATATACCAATCAAGCAAAGCAAAGTATATATGTATTAGACCTTGAGCTCTATAAACTTCATTTATGAGGAACGTAGTGATTTGTGAGAATTGACCTTCTGCTGTGCATACTCGCCGTTGAAAATGTACCGTATGTAAAATGTATTTTTTTGTAAATTAAGTAATGCGTGCATGTGATGAGCTGACACCCGCCCAAACAAAAGGGTTTCATTACTTGTATTTAGATCTATTGATGTTTCACTGTTCACCAAGTTCGGATGGAAAGTGATCCAATTTTCTATCCTTGGTCTTCGTTGCAGCTTGGGACAGCTCTAAGTTAACGTTAAAATATGGTGTAGTTTCCCGGAATTCACTTTGTTCAAGTAAACATGTTTTGTTTAATTGAGGATTTTGAGTCATGGATCCAAAACGGAGTAAGCTAACTTTTGTCAAAAGTATGTGACTTGGTATTTTCTCACCGTCTTGATCATCCCATTTCCAATCTGGTCCGCGTACCACCTCTGCTCCGAGGAAAATTCCAAATGCTGTGCATTGTCTGGCACTGATGCGGCAAGGCACCTCAACACTGCGTAGAAAATATTCAAGCTCAGCGTGTTTGTGTCAGGTCAAAATACAAGGCGATCACACGATTTTCCAGCACCTTGGTAACCGTTGTATTTTCGATTATGATGAATGTTTTAATTCTAAAGTTTATTGGTATTCTAGGTGGCATATTTTAGTCTTTGCAAGTTGGTTTTACTATTTAACACAATGAAATTTCTCTTTTCTGTTATTCCTGCAGTTTGACCACACATTTCAATTTGTTTTTATCAAGTCTGTTATGTAAATCCTTTTTGAATGTGGTATTCTGTTTTTAATATTTTGGAACCAAGAGGACATACTCCGTACTCCAAGGAAAACTTAATGGAGGCAAACTAAAAATACTCAACAGAGCTTTACATGTGTTCAGATTCACTTTTTTGCATATTGAAATTTGTAATGATCATACCCAGTCGCACCAGGTTCCTCTATCCTTGCAAACGAGTGTTCCAGCTCATGTCTCCCCTCATTGTAACAGCCGTGGCACAAATCATAATCATGACATCGGAGGCATTTCCAACGGATCCCCTCAACGTTCATCTTGGCACAGCCATCACATCTAATGAATAGGTGCTTTACTCCTGTCGAAACAAGCGGTTTTCTTTCATTGTCATAAGTATTAATGACAAATAAAAAGTACTAATTACTCTCAAATCCCGCTTTTCAGCTCTCTATCTGTCTAGTTCTGAAACTCCGTACACACGTAGGTTTTTTAATTTCTACTTATACCCTGTGTATCCTTCCATCTTTGTAACCTCAGCCGTTTCAACCCTCGGAGATGATTAATTTTTTTTTGTTAGTAAATACGCAAGCGCTCAATAGAACGCCCTCATTGACAAACTGCCTCCTCACGGGAAGACTTCGCAAACCACAAAACGGTTAGACCAATGTTCCAGCAGCCAATTGCCAAACTTCACGCTCAGCCCAAAATCTCTGACACTTCTATGCTCAGTCGTCGTCATTTGGGTATATTTAACGAGATTGGGGTGGTATGGGCCTGTCACATTTATTTTAAATATGACACTAATTTTAAATATGTTTTCTCTTAATAAAATTGTCGCAAAGAGTTTAATCTTAAAGAATCAACTAATGAAAACAATATTCTGTGGCGATATCGGGAAAAAAGTCTAGGGGCAGATTCCACCCGGCTCTTTTACAGTTACGATATTTGTGATCTTGTACCTCTTTGGGCGTTGTCGTACACCCGCAAAATAAAGTTGCCACCGCCTTTCCCGGTGCCATACTTGCCAAGAACTCCTGAGTCCCAACGTACCCACACCGTAGATTCTGAATATGCAATAAGACAAGGTATTTTATAAGGATCGCTTCTCCATGAACAAATAATTCAATGCAGTGAGCCGTTTACCGCAAAAATATTTATACTTTCTCTGCATGCTTTTCTATTTGTTCAGCTTTAGTCTTAAGAAACAAGTATAACGTGCCTGTTATTCGTTATTGTTGAAAATGATGTGAAAAGGCGCATGTATAACCGCAAAGGCATGTACGTGTTACACTTTCTTTGAAAGGCTGGCTCCTAAGGAACAAATACACTTTTATCAGCATTCAGCGGGACTAAGATGTAATCAATCGACGGCAGAACTTTTAACAGCAAAGATAAGACACGAGCATAACTCAGTGACTCACTATTCTCCGATGCCTCGCATCGCACCACCGTTCCGACACCTCCACATCCCCCGTCCTGGTCACCCCACTTCCAGTCCGGGCCACGCACAACTCTCGTCCCGACTGCATCTCCGGTATCACCTGAAAAGAAATTGACATGACGTGTAACGTGGAAGAGTTTCACGTGATACCCTGCATAAAGCTTACGCCACTTTATCTGCTCCTTTTACCTTCAGCTCCATGCCATTGCTGTTCCCGAAAAGCTGTCTCTTCTTTATTTATACTATCAAGCCCTGGTGTCTCCTCGCTGCATTGGGCATGCGCTTCAGGTCCCGTGTCTTTTTCGCCTGTCTTCTCTTCTTCTTGACCCTGTCCTTCAGTCTTTGTGTCCTTTTGGTCTGTTTCCTCCTCGTGGTCCAACCCTTCTGGAGGTTTTGAGACATCTGGAGTTGCATTTTGTTTTCCCCCGCCAACTGCTACGACGCCCTCTGTCCAGGTTCCGCTTTCTTTTTCTCCATGAAGACCTCCAGATGTCGCCTCTTCGTGGACTGCCATGTAGTCTTTGTCAATTTCAACAGTCCCATGCATTTTGTCTTCCTGGCCAGCCTTCTCTTCCTCGCTTGATCCGTTACTGTTGTGTCGACCATCATGTTTATGTACCTTGGTCTCGAATTCTTCCTTCTCCATGCGACAGACCTTAGGTTTAGTCATGGTGTGGGACGTCTTCGTGCTGTCTCCAGCATCATCGCTTGCTTTCATGTCTGCGGGCTCTTTGTTTTCTTCGTCTCGTTCATCACATTTCGAGCCTTCGTTATCTTCTGTTTGGTCTTTGTCGTGACGATCATTTGCTGTTTTCGTATCTACCTGTCCTGTTTTGTCGTGTTTGTCTGGTTTGCCACCTTGCCTCTTGTTACCTGTGTTCTCAGGAAAAAAACCACGATGTTATGTTTTGGTAAAAGGAAGGAGATAATCGACATTTAATTGGAGAAAAAGGGAGTGTCCTCAGCTTGAGGCACAATCACGTGATTGTTATCACATGACAACAATCCAACGCAGCAGCTGACCCACACTTCCTGACTTTGTAAGTTGGACCAAGGCACTCCTTTTAGAGGGGGTTCACTCACCGGGTCAGTTTGGTATTGCCACAAATTTGGCGGCAAGATACCCGCTCCCTCCCATATATTTGTGTACAAAATGCCTTCCTCCCCTTATGACAGTGTAGCAGGCCTCTGTGGAGTTATTTCACTGCCCAGGACGACTGACAGATCCCAGCCCTGAATGTCTTGCGGCTCTCCACACAGTGTAAATAAGACTGGGGCAAGGTTTATTGCCCCTAGAGTATTTCCTGGGAGAATCAATGACCCTTGTGAATGAGTCTTGACAGGCTTATAATTGCAGTATTTGGATGGCCCTACATAGCCCAGCCGCAACAAGAGATTTTTTTCTAGGAGGGGGTACCCTTTTCCGTTGTATTTATTTGACAAAGTATTGATGAAAGCTTGGAGGAATAACACACAGACATAGAAGCATCAAAATACAATGTACAGTGCCCGTTTTAACTAATTAACAGTGTGACCCCAAGTGCGTCACAAAACATACCTTCGTCGTTCCGTTTTTCAACACCTTCGAAGAACCGGCACCCCTTGGTGTACACATCCTCTGAGATTCTAACTTCTGAAATAGGCAACGTGCTTTTAATGCGCGTGTGGAATTCACCGCTAATGTAAGCTTGCCAGAATCTCTCGAGGTCCTCGCGACTTTGGACACGCACAGTAAGTTGTACGCATCCTACAGTCACACCCATTGCTTCTAAGTTGAATTCATTCAAGACTTCTTTCAGAGGCGTGACTGCTGATTTTTCATCGCCGATGTCTGCCTTCACCATATCGAGAAGGCGATTGGTTCGGCCGTCGTCCTTTCGTCCTTCTTTTATCCCAACCAACTTTATGTTAAATTCTACATGGGAAATACAGAAGCGATGTCACTCTAACGAGGCAGAGACTACGAGGTATGGGCAATGCATTATTGGCATGACTCCCTTTAGTCATGAGAGAAAATTGCAAAAATGGAGCCGTGGGATCTTAATTGAATACTCTGGAGATACTTGGTGGTAGCACGCGTACTGGTCTTTTTCTGTTTGCGTTTTACGTGTGAGCGTGTGCACTTTCTCAAAATGACAAAAATGACAGAAAAACAATTACTTTGATGGTCGTCGCCTATTATCTTTAAAGTCTCCTGCTGTTAACTGTGAGACCATTCGTTGAAAATCTTTGTGAACTGCTACTGTACTGAGTGTATTCCGGCCAAACACTTTGGCGTACATACCGTAACCATAGTTGATGTTACTGTCCTTCATATCCCCTTTAACAATCGGGCAGTTGGTCAAGTTGTAGTTGTAGTTGTAGTGTATTACAACCTGTGGAGTTTTGAGTTGCACATCTTCTGCTTTAACTTGGCCGTCGCCGTGATGTTTAACTTGTTGCCGTTCTACCTTCTGTGTGAATGTGAAATAAACCATCAATGCGAAATGTTTAAAGTAAGTCGAAAATGCAGAACTGTCACTGGGTAACTTGAATACACTGCAAAATTGTGTATTTAGCTATCAAACACTTGTCTAAAATACTTCCTTGCCATCATTTTGTAAAAATTGTGGAAGTCTTAAAGGGTATACAGTATTGATAGATTTTACATTGTGATAGCAAAATTGTTTTAATCGCTAAAAGCAGTTTTCAGAGTGTATTTCTATGACAATGACAGTATAATTATTTATACTGGTCGAGAGCCCGTCACGGGGCACATACCATAATACAGCTGGGGTTGGGGGTGGAGACGCAAAATTCTTGAACAATCGTTGGAAATGATATTTAAATTTATTTTGACGTGTTATTTAAGAATGGGAATAAATTCTTTGTCTGTCTTGAAGTGGACGTTGATATTGCGCAAGTTGCACGCGTCCATATTGACTAACTGATAAATATACGTGCGCCTTACCTCTTTCGTTTTCTTGCCATTTTCCATAGCTGCACATGAACCTGCTATACATCTCTCCTGGGTAGTAGGGTCATGTTCCAGTTGAGCTCCAACATGTTTTTCTAACTCTGAAACAAAATTTGTTTTGAAATACTTAAGCCTTACTATAACATTGCTAATCTTGCACTTTGGACCTTTAACAAAAAGCACCGAATAAAGACAGAGAGTGTCGATCCTATTTTACAGTTTCTGCAGGCCACATGTTTCTTCTTTTCACCTCATTTGGCTAAACTTCCAAATGTGGGGAATAAATAGGAACAAATTAATACGCGTACCCTTTATCAGATCATTGCGTTGGATCATCCGTAGTTTTTCAACAAGGATTATTAAGTACTCTCTATCAGAGTTTGCCTTGCACCACTTTCCGAGCATTGCTCCAATTTTCTTCAGCCCGTCACTGTCTTCATCAGTTGCGAACATCTCAATCTCGGCATGACAGTATCCGAGCACAGAGCACAAATCCCTCCAGCTTTCTCCAATGGTTTTGGCAAACGGATTCCAAAAATCAGGATCAGAAGTGTCCAGCTTAACTGCAGGAATTGTATACAAGAAAGTAACAAAGAAAGAATATCAAAGATAATACATATCAACTCTAGCAGTCAACAATCCTTCAATTGCAATATGATTTTACATACACTTTGGCGATTAGGGGTGATATCTGCAATATTGTTTTGAGGAGTAAATAGAGAAGACACAAAATGAGGTCAGTGTTTGTTCTTCTGGTAAGGTGTCTGAAATACAAGCAATCCTTGGAATCGTGACGAGGGGCAGGTAGATCCTTGTGTCCAAACTCGTCTCTGAGTCTTCCGTATAACACTGCCATTAACAAAGGCGGTTTTCGTGCCAATTACATATTAAAATATAATACATTAAATAGGATCACAAACTAAAATCAGAAAAATTAAAACCGTATGTGACCCTGAGAACAATAATATTTTCAGTATTCGACACCAACAAAGAATACGTACCGTTCATTGTGATCTGCTCCAACTTCACCTCTTGTTTACTCGAAATTACTGTGAGACAACAAAAATACATGCACGAAAATGTTTTCGAACATTGCAGGATAGTTCACAAGCTTTTTATTGAGCATTACCGAATTAGGTGTCATGTTTATCCGCGACGCTTGTTAATGCAAGTCTTGTCAGAGAAGAGAAACATGGTTAGAGGATCAGTGCATTGAATTGTTTGTACAAACACTTGAATTGCAAGATGTATGTTTAATACATTCAAAATATACCAACTTTTCAAAATAGGGAGGGTGCTGTTTAGTAGTGTGATATATATCCAAGAAGACACTGTTCAGTTTGCATGCTTCATGTTCAACTCGACACCGTCTCGCCACAAAGTAAATTTTTTGTGTGTGAAAATCGCATTTCATGTTGATGTCGTTTTCAAATGCCTTTTCTCTGGTATTTAGCATTCCTATGCCTCAACGAATGCTACTTCCTTACAATGTAAAAAGTATTGTAAAATTACAAGATTTTTTCCTCATAAAATTACAGCTTTACGCTATATATGTGGTTTAAAGAGATTTCATATATAAATAGACATAATATGTGCTGGTAAAAACAAGGGGGGCGTTAATTTTCGTTAACTGATTTGTTCCTGTAGACAAAGCCATAAATTTGTGTTGTTAGCTGTATTATATTGAAATCAGTGCTGCTTAAAAACAGGTTCTTTTAACGAATATTATTGCCATTCATTTGTCGTTTTACAATTGCTTTGGAAAATGCGATACGTACCTAGCTTTTTGTTCTGTTTAACTTCCTTTTTTTTTTTACTTAATTCACTTTTTAAAAAAGTTATTTCAACTTTTTATTCCCTTTAATTTATACCATATTCCTGGACTATTTTCTGAACCATACTTCCGGGGTTGGGGTTGCAGTGGAATTAAACATTGCATCAACGTGCAGTGCACGTGGTAATGACTCCCTGATTTCACATGCCGATGTATACGTAATATTTTGGAACCAGTTTAAGCTCTCCTTGCTGTAATATTAACCCTTGACTCGATGATATGCGAACTAGAGGCAAGAAAGCGCACATTGTATGCAAAAGCAAAATTAACGTTGACCAGACGGAAACGTCGGAAATTTCATCATTTGTTGCCCTGGCTTGGCTGGATATGGGTTTTTCTTCCGGTTTCTGCGGATACAACTGTGATTTTGCTACCTCATGTACGATTAAATTATTTATAAAATATTTGGAGCATTGCATGGTATTATTTAGAGACACAGTTTTTGACGTTCCATTCAAAATTTGCCTTCGCTTCGGCCGACGTATAGACCCTTTTTACCCACATGACTGCATATTTACTCCCATCATCTGTAGACCGCCTTGGGCACAGTGATAGGATAATAAAGCGGGCAGCCTCAACCACATGCGAACGCTGCATGCTTGGCTAGTTTAACTTGCATTGGCTGGTACACAAAAACTGCTGGATTGCTTTTTTTTTTAATTTTTTTTTTGGTGTGATTCGTTTTTGTTTCAGCGCATAGCGATAGCCAAATTAAGCAGGCATGCAACCCTTTCTCAGACAGGTTTTCTCTGAGTAACTTTGGGTTAATATGAGCATAAAAACCTATGCCCTGAAACATTCTTCCTCAAATTACATCACAATGGCGCCCTCAGTTCTCCAGAAAAATAGACATTTTTTAATGTTTCAGAAATTGCACTTCTTAACGCATTCAACTGTAAAAGGACGAAAAATAATTTTCTTAAAGTGGAGAAGTTTATGAAATCGTAGTAATTTTGGGTTAAAAAGTGATTTTGAGATAGTTTGGAACACACGTAATTATTATAAGATAAGGCTCTATGTAAACTGTTTCAATAAATAAATTTGTGTCCAAAGTGGATTTGTAGATATCTCGTCAATACACATCTAACGTTTCCATATCACAGACAAGATATCCTCCATTCATTTCATGATACTTAGAAATCTAATTTAGGATATCTTTTAACTGTGTTCAAAGTGATCGTTGGGTTCCGAATTATGTTTAGTAAATGCCATCGGAAAGTAGGGATGGTTTTAAATAATATCTGGGATGTCTGACTTTATTCCAAAATATTTCGAAATACAGCGGGATGCAGGGTTTCACCGGAGGACTTCGAAACGTCTACGATGAATTCATTAAATACAAATGCTTCCGATCTCTTTTGCCTCGTCAGTATAAATCTAGTGTCGTTCATTTAATGTATTTGGTTTTTTTCTCAATCTTTGTCTATTTCCTGGATTCTAAGATGTATTATATCCAATCGTCACTGTTCTCACGATCACATGCTGAAAGTAGCATTTCTTATTTTGATTACATTTTGTTGTCAGGGGCCAAAATTTTGATAAGTGCAGTTTGCGTTTTCAATGAAGAGAAAGAAATCTTACTGCCCGCCGCACACGTAACCGTATTGACTGGAAAGGCCAAAATCTAGGTCAAGAAAGATTTTCTTTTTCCATGGAGAGCAACGCATCTTTGTAACAAGAATGCCCTTTCCCGATGAATGCATTGCCAGACTGCCCAAAAAGTAGGAAAACGTGGATTTTGAATTCACTAACAGACTCGCATCTTCACTAATTGATTTCGTCTGATTATAACCACTTTACTCATTTTAAAAATTACCTCTCAAATAAAAATTTCAGGGTTTCTTAACTTTCTTGTTCCATATTGATATTTTTGAAGATTTAATATGCATGTAGGAGAAGCCTCTCCAGCATTATTTCCAAAACCACTTTTTTCTTAAAAATCTACATTTGTGGCTCTTCTTCAAAATGGTTACGAATGTGCGTTTAATCGTCTTCAACATGAAATTTAGTGCTGAGTAGTAATTGATCTTTATAAAAAGAAAAAGTTATAAACCGGTTTTATTTCCCAAAATAGCATAATATACGTACGTGGTGCACAATGCTTCCAATGCATGCAGCATTAGTTTAATACATGTAGTGGTGTGCTCTTTCACCGCGGAAACTATATACTAATCCGACACCTAAAAGTATTGTTCAGTTCTGCTCAAACAGCTACGACAACGCATATAGTTAGGGTACTACCCTGCGTTGTGTACAGTTTATTTACATTTGGTCTTCTCTGATAGTCAAGCGGCTTGGTACCTGACGCCTCGTGTCTTTTATTTAAGATCAGCAAAATGAAGCTTATTGCTAATATTCCAAATGGAGATAAAAATGCAAAAAGGTAGTCAGCGTTGGCACTTCCGTCAGAGACGTGGAAAATCCCTTGTATTTACCGAATTGCGTGACGTCAGCACAATGTTCAGCAGTTTGTTTTGGGGGGAGGGGTTGCCGGTCCAAACATTTACATGTACATTTACATGTGTAGAGAAAGGCCTTTATGGTACTGGCCTCGAATAATACCAGTGTGGCGATGAAAAAAAAATGAATACGAGTCCGCAAAGCTCCTGTGGAATTCAAAGACTTTGTGCAGTGAACTTCGAACTTACCTTGCTGAAAGCTTTCAGAGAGAAAAGTAAACGAAGAATAGAGATTTACCGCAGTCGTATAAATAGTTCTCTGAAACCAAACATTTTTCAAACTCTGTCACCAAAAAAAATATAAGACTATAAATTTTAAAATATCAAAAAAATAAAAATATAAAAAATAATGCATATTGTAAATAAATATAAATATAAAAAAGGGAAAAAATAACTGTCATCCTTACTTTAAATTCTGCATTCCCGGTTCAGTTTATCTCAGACTCTTAACAGTTTTTATTCACCGAAGCAAACTGACTGTAACTTTGTGTTACTTTCCACTCCGTTTAAATTATGTTGTTTTAAAAAAAGTTTACAACTTACAAGCTGTTATCTAAAGAAAGAGGGCAAGTGTTGTTCAATAGTGCCCACTATTGATTATGATTCTAACATCGAATGCAATAAACCACTCTGTCATGCCATCACGTAGTCACCACAGTTAGTATTGCTGCTGAGGCCCTTAAACGAGTCCCTGGAAGCACATATCCCTACCTGTACTAAACATTAGTTATACCGATAAAATCTCAAATTTAGGGTTCAACGGCTTATTATGTAGGGTTTGTTTATGCAGGAACTTACAAAGAGGAAGTTGTGATCCGTGCACTGTGTCACATATAAATCAACTTCTTGTCACCACCAAAATGCTACTGCTCACCTGTGGGAAAAACCAGGGGGAAACCGCTCCCGTCCAACAACGGAAAACATGGCAATAGGGCGTCCAATGCGATAAACAGCCTATGGTGGCTTTCGGGAGACATCGCAAATCATGAAATCGACGTCAATCTTTCCAACAATAAATCGCCAAAGTATCATGAATGCTAACTGACACAGTATTTGCGTAAAAATGCGCTTTACCCCAGTTCAAAATTTTTGCCAGGTTTTTGTTTGAAACGCACAATTTCCCACAAGTTTCTCTTGAACTTCTTTCTCAATGGAGCGCAACATGTCATTGAAAACCCTCTCCAGACAACCATCTTAGTGACGTCAACACAAGGCAGGATCATTCCGCGTGCTTATTTTTAAAATTTTCCATAATAAGACCTTCTCCTGGTAAAGTAGGATTCTTGAATGTGGCTTGCGCATCGAGTACACACAAGATTACCACGGACTGGATGAGTAGCCTCAGAAATCTTAAAAGGAGATTTCTGAAAGTTTTTTACCGTCTTTTTGGGGTAGAGCGACATTTTCCTGCAAAGATGGTCGACCTTGCAGTTGTTCCATTTAAGCTAGATCAATTTTCATTTTTCTAGGCCAGCTTAGAACGCCTTGTTGGGGAGCAAATATTGTTGCCACGAGGCGTCGCTTGTCAATATTTACCAGACACACAAATATTTTTTTTCCTTCAGATGCTCCCAACAGAGCATAACATGTCGTATAACCTACTTCAGACAACCAACTTGCATGACGTCAGCACAAGGGAGAATCGTTTTGAATGGTTTATAATTGGAATTTTATGTAATAAGATTCCAGGTAATATATGACTGTCCGGGGTGTGATTTTACACTTAGCACTGAGAAAACAAAAGTACCACATATAAATGAATCATTAGCCTGAAATTTCAAAAACAGGTTTCTTGACAACTGTATTCACCTTATTCGTGGGATGGGTGAAACCTTCCTTTGCAGTTTGTCCAATCAATCCACTTCGTTCATAACACAGCCATGTAAAGCGCCAATTTTGTCAAATTGGTCAAGCTAGAGATAAGCTTCTTCAAGTATATCAACTTTAACCCTAAGGTTCATGTAGCCGAGCTTTTCTGAATTATCTCTCGGCCAGGCAAAGTTGAACTCGGCTGTCACATGCTTGTTTTGTTTTGTTTTTGTTAAGTATCCATACGCAGTTATTTTTTTTTTCTTTACAGTAAACCTTCAATTTGTTATCCAATGGATTGTGGTTGTTTGGAATTCATGGTCTCATGCATGTCTGCCTGTGTGCATTGAGCCCGTGAAAAGGGGATACGTCTTGGCCGACGTATCCCGAGGAAAAGTGAATGCTTTAGTGGGAACAGATTTGCACAAATTGGCTGCCAAAATAACTACTAGGCATTATTGGAATCTCTTTCAAGAAAAAAATGCTCGGAGCAACTGTTGAGGGACCGACTTATCGCCCGGCTCTTTTGGGGGTTAAACCTATGATGCCGTTCGTAAGTGGCACACTAATCTATACCCCCACCAACACTCGTCTGAGCATGGACGAAGTACATGATATTCTTTACTGAATAAAGTCTTATTGCTCGCCTTCTATGAAACTGCCACGGATCACCCACAACGAAGCTGACCTTATCTTCTTTGTTAACCCTCACATTCCCAATCCTCCGATTTCAACATGATTTTACATACACCCTGGGAGGTTAGGATTTTAATGATACTAAGACATAAACACACCGTAGTGCTCAGTTTCTGGTGGTTACTTTTGGAACAAAGGGGGCACCGTAGAAATACGCAATAANATATTTAGCAGCCCAATCTGAAGTGATGCAGAATACGTTCCCCTCTTGGTGATAAAGTCTCTCATGTGAAAACAATGGCAAAACCATCAAAGAGGGAAACAAGACCTGGTAAAATCCTTTTTCAAAAGACATTTGCAAGGGCATTCGCCCACCATTATACTTTTCCGCGTAAAAACTCAAGGCATTTATCAAACACTGCATAAAAACTCACTGCCTGAAATTCTTGGTCTCCCAATGGACGTCTTTAAAAATAACGTAAGACTAGGATGCACATAATTCTTACCCTCGGTGGAAAGTCGTTATTAAACTACCACCCCAGGAAAAAATAGAGTGAAACTTGTTAAGGTACCAGCTGCTTCAGTTTTTTTGTTTTTTGTTTTTTTCTGAATTCTTGTTGGAATCGGCACGGTGTCTCACAACACGCAGTACACGCAATATGAATGTAACGGTGTTTCTGTTTTTGTTTCCATGAGGTTTAAATTTTTCAGGCCATCATCTACGATGCAACGCACAGAGATCGAGACGTGTTTTATGCAAGTGGGGGTTTCAGATTGATAAATAATCCCGTGGATTTATGGACTATTTTCTTTCTCTCTATCATCTTGTCCTCCTTCATAAACATAAAAAGAGATCTTCTCAAGCACTTCATGACATTTACATATTATGCAGGCACACGTAATAAGACCAATAAAACCACGATGAATTAACTAATTTATTGAACGTGTACTTATGGGTTATAGCATTAATGGCATCAGTCCATCGATTCATTTGGCAACTTGTGACTAAATATAAAATCTGTATAAATCCATGTACACTGTCATGTAGACAACACTCAAACTGTTGCTCCACGATAATCTGAGCATGACCTGCGTTTGACCCTACAGTGCAAACAACTGGGACTGTATTGTGCACTCTAGAACGTGCAATCCATGTAGCTAATATATTTCGGAAGCTTTGGATTCAGAAACTATTTTGTGTAGGCTTACAGTAATTTCAAGAGAACAGGAAAACCTGTAAAAAGACGGGATTAAGAGCTTACTAAAAGTACAGAACTATGAAGCTTGAGCCATACATCGAGACTTTTGTATCTGGACCTGTAAGATCGGCTGTGTCAATGGAGCGGTTGAAAGAAGGTCTAGAGCTGAATCTTATTCTGGAAGAATATTTTGCGAACTGAATCTAAAGTTCACTAATTTGGTGTTACCTCTTTCCCATATTTTCGAAACGTGAGTCAGCCCGCGTCATTCACCGTTTCATCTGTTTTGGCCGTTTGTTGGTGGTGACTTCACACCTTGTTCCAGCTCATTGGCACTGCCAAAGAACCTTTTCTAGCTATCTATGCATGTACGTCATTCCCTACCTTTTGGATGAAGAAAATCTTCCCAGCGACTACTTCACCACGTCATGCTATAGAAACAGTAGATGTTACTTCGATAATGCTTCAAATCCGTGGGAAAGGTAATAGGCGTCTACATGAAGTATACAGCGTCGTCCACTTTCCACACCACAACTGATACTCCAGACCCTCTGTATTTCACCTGTTATAATGATTTCCTAAAATATTGCGATACCCAGACGTATTCAGTAATCTTTCAAGCCTAGAGGTCCACGACTAAGTGTATTATGTCGGGTCAGTTTACGCGGAAACTGTAACTTCCCGTCTTCACCGAATGCTATTTTTGACATGGGGGAAAACCACCATTGCTGCTCAAGTCCAAAGGTCATAATAGAAACATTGGAAATATGGCGTTTGTGGCTATTGCTACCTACGATGGCTTTAGAGGTACCCAGCAAATCGTAAATTTGACGTCGATGCTCCATACAGAAACTCAATATCATTGACAGTGGCACAGTATTCGTGTCGACAAATTTCACATTTTTGCTCTAGATTAAATAGAGCGTAACTCTTTATTCTCTTGCAAAGTTGAGAGAGTCTTATGACGGAGCAAACTGTGATGTCTCTTGGTGTCGTTTGGCTGTTCACAGCTCTGGAAGGGCCATCCAACTAGTTGAGATCCTGACATGTTATTTTCTCGGGATGACGACATAAATACAAGCAAGATGTCGACATCCTTAGATATTTACCATGGAATGACAACATCGTAAAATTTGAACGACGACATCCTTTATCATTTTTACATGACAACGACTTCCGGCATTTGTGTTGTCTACTTCGTTAGTTATTGTCTCGTTTTTTGAAATTATCTCAGCATGTCGTCATCCGTCTTTTACAATGTCATTGTCCTGAGATAAATTATCTTGGGATCTCCATATAATACCTGTATGGTGTTGCCATCCGGAAAGAAAATATGTCAGTATCTCAGCAAATCGGATGGCACTTCCAGAGTTCCGTATTTGGCAATGTGCCAGACGAATAATTATTTTCAACTACAGGTGCATGTCACACATAACCCCGCACCAGACGACCAAACTGTCTGACCTGAGCAAAAGGCACAGTTATTTTGAATGGCGTGTAATTGAGCAGTTACATACTATTGCGCCAGTAATCACTCCATTATTTGATGTCCAGATACTCGGGCGTCAGGGGTTCCATTCTATTTTCAGACATGTGCTGTTCAAACTGGGAGTTTCCTAACTGAATATTTTCCAGGGGTGAGATTCCTCCGGATTTCCGGATTTTTCAAAAATCAGGTGTTGGTTTTGCGGATTATTTGGTTTCACACTTTTGATGGAATTATTGGCAAAATAAGATTCATTTGAGACTTGGTAAAGTCTAGTGAAGGCTATCAAGAAGTACACAAATTTTTGTTACTTCCTCTTAAATACTGTGGTATACACATTGGGTACATGAGGAAGTGGTAGTAAAAGTAATGGCGGAATGGAATGTATCGTGTATTCCCACTTATGTACGGGAATACTAACCAGCAACACATGACATGTGTTGTGCACATGTTACTTCAGCAGCAAAACATGGATGCCGTTTTGAGTTGTGTACGTACGTGTACATGTGGTGGATTCCGTATGGCTTTCTACAGAAAGTCAGTTGATTTTGGGGATGTTTCACAGGATTTACTTAATTCTCGATAATTTGGCATAATGGTATATCAAATAATTGACTGAGATGAGGGCCTATCTGTTGATAAAGGCGCTAAACATCCGTGGAGATTTTTATGGTTGGAGACAAAGATGGATTGTGAACATGGCACCATGGTGAAGGGGAGATGATAATACAGGGATTTCCTCTTAAAGGTTGATAAGTTTGGGCACTTCAGATGCTTGTAGTATAATGTTGGAGGCTGAAAGGACATGGTATGCCTTAAGTGTTCATGAACAATGTATAGGCTAACAATTTGAATTTCTTTTAAAAATGGAACAAAACCAAAACTGCTGCAAACTGCTTGCTGTGTCCTAATCTTTTTTAAACTTTAACGTAGGGCAAAACACATGGAACTCCTTCATAATGTCGTACATGTACATATTCAATACATGCATACATCTAACAGGATAAGGATACATGTACACTGTACATGAAATGTACAAGTATACGTTGTGTACATTGTAATGTGCATACGTGCATGCGTTAATGCAGCAAATATGACAAAACCTGCATGCCATTTACGTCTACCATGTTTACGCACATACAAATAGGCCTACATGTACATGTATGTACATGCACATGTAACGGTACATCTACATACATGTACATGTATACATGTACATGTATGTATATGTGTACATGTACATGTATGTATATGTGAATGTACATGTATACTTGTACGTAACATGTAGGCCTATGCCCCACATGTGTACATGTACAAATAATACCAAGCGATTTTCTTGGATGTTTTGTTACGGTCCGGTCTCACCCCTGAATTTTCATTGGAATGTTTTCCCACACCAAGTGCATTTACCCTCGAGTGTGGCTTAATAAAGACCGATTAATATAACAATTTCACATTTCAAATGAACTTCCCAACACGTAAATTTGGACTTTCAATATTTGTGCTTTTATCTGACATGATGCGATTAAAGATCGATGAAGTCACAAACTTGTTAACGAAGAGGATTAAATATAACTCTGATTATGCACACAGTTAGCATGTGCTGCATACGTATTAGGAATACGAGTCTGTGGCACGTTTCTGGGCTGAGTTTGAAAACAAAATAGATTTACTTACTTGGTAAAGCTACTTTAGGTACTGTTTATTGTCTTTTTAACGTAATGTTTTCAAACGTTATTTGTGAATATTTGAGATTATTTTCAGTAAAAGTAACACATAAAAATCAAGGGTGAATTCACAACCAAATTGTCAAGAGCCATTCGACGAAATGAATTCCCAGTAAAGTTTGCTACCAATGTTACTCATCACCTTGCAAACAGAGAGTTGCGACGTGAGTGTCACTGTTGTTGGAAACAAACTGACAGGTGTATAAGTGCAAATGAAATTGGTGTCTCTGCATGCTGGGATACCATAACCAACAGCCATTTTGTTTTCAATATCTGAAGCTGACATTACTCTCTCCATACACGCAGCTCTGATGCGGCTTAGACCGGATGCTCCATCATGTTGCTGCGTGACTATCGCCCTCTATGGGTGCACTGAACTAATTGAAGCCCCATTGAAGACATGTAAAATTGACCACGTATGCAGCCCCAGTACGGGCAACCGAAGTCCCTCAGGCCTCTCAAACAAAAAAAGAAAGTTTTCTGGGGTCATTCAGCTCTCAATTGATTCTCAATTTTTTGTAGGTTTACCGATGAAATTTTTAATTATCCACCCAAAACAAACTCACCTCCCAAAAAGTGAACTTTCCTATGTCTGTCATTGGCCATTTTTCAAATGACATCCCTCCACCTTTTCAGGCTCTTGGGACAATTTTTCAGTAGCATTTTTCTATGCTTCGCACTGTAATGGGAGCCCTTGAATCTAGGGAGTTCAATCTGGGCCATTCTTCCACAATCCCACAATTTCTTGGGCCACACAATCTCCTTTTTTTTAAAAATAAACTGTAGGGGTACTTTTTCAGCGCTTCAGCCTGCCGAAAAATTTCCTTTGAATTGGGCAGTGCATCCCTAAGCACTGCGGACGGCTCTTGTGCCTATTTGCGTGGGTGCACCCCTCTCTTTTACCACTGGTTGTAGCATTGAATTTGTATTCGCTGAAAATGCACCGAAAACCTGACTTCTTGAGTGAATTGCGCATGAGCAATGGTTGGTACCAAGCACAAGCGAGGCCGGAACCGAATTTTATGGGAGTCGGAATTTCATGGGACACCGCTACGGGTGCAATCCATATCACCGAGCGCCCATTAGCGATGCCAGCCTTAGATATCCTCGGGAGAGGGAACAGCAATGAACCAGGCCCTATTACCGTTGCAAGGGTACGACACCGTTCTTCACTGTAGTCATCGACTGGCTTCCAAGTGACAACGTGCGTGCGGGCTGCGAGCGAGAGACATAGCAAGACAGAGAGCCTTTTAGTTGCAAAATATTAGACGGATAGGCAGGATCGTGACACGGGTGTTTTATTGGCGCATATGATTTATTAAATTGGCAAAAGGAAATACACCAAGTCATAACAAGTCGTATGGAGGGAAATCTGATAACACAAAGGTAAGTAATTAACAAAAAGTTTTTACAATAACAATTTTTTGACGGACAGGAAGGGATTGTAAATTGGTTTTTGATCTGTCGGCATTTTCTTTTTTAACTTCGAGTTCTGCTGTTTGCCGAGTGACTCTCTGTGTGTAAAAGATGAAACTCCCGTCAGTCAGTTGTGTTGTCCTTGTGTTCAGTTATCGAAACAAGCAAAAATAGAATTAATCAGTTGTAAAGGAAGTTCTGTTCTTCATTCATACTGTTAACATTTTACTTGTGGGTCACTAAAGTATTTTCAATCGGCATTCATCCTACAGGTTACATGATTCTTCCGGTCAAACCGGTTACATTACCATTACACAGTCATCAAGCTCATCAGTTAAAAGGCTTTTAAAGAAAGTGAAAAAGCCAGCGGAGTATATAGAATGACATATAAATTGCGTGACGTCAGTACAAGGTTCAATCCTGTTTTACAGTGATTGCTCGTCCAAAAATTTACATGCACATATACATAGTTTTATAGAAAGGCGTTTAATACAGTGCTCGACTTGAATAATACTAGTGTGGCTTTGTTGCAGATAAAACATGTTTGCTGCCAAAGAGGATGGTGATAAATGATGCCAATTCCAAAAAGGACCCGAATATTATGAAGTTAACGGTTGAAACTCAATTACTGGCCAGATGCACATTAGTGTAGTGGTCATTTTGAAGGGTAACCATTGTGGCGTGGAAATGAAATTTACCCTTTGCAGATTCCAGGACGCTGTCGTCTTTTTGAATATGCCCTCACTTCATTGCTACTGCATTGCAACGTAAAGGGACTGCTTCATCCATGCTGACGGTCAGAGGGTCAGGTTTTAATGCAGGACCTATTTACGGGAACTGCATCAGTTGGGTTGATGAATTATTTCTGTCGAAAGAAATGTTGCCTCTGACAAAGCATTTTTTTTTCCTAAGGGGTATCTACTAACTGCAGTTGAGAAAAGAATAAACACGCCATGGGTTTATTTTTATCCTCTTGGGTGGGGTATAAATCCCTTTACACACTTTGCTGACCAGGGGACAGGATATTGAATCATTCGCCCACATTTTTTAGTGGTGAGAGAACCTTGAAGGTCGATTGTGATTTTTGTTGCTTTCGGACATCCCAAGTTCAAAAGGTATTCAAAAAGGGAGAACAATTTTAAAAAGTTACAAAGATGCCGGTTTGAAGTAAGGCTCTACAGGAATGTAATACATATTAAAGATGAATATCTGTCATATGAACATCCCCTTCATAACATTATTGTCACCCTTTTCAAAGTTCCATGGCCGAGCAAGTCATCCCATCCACAATACCCCTTCCCCAAGTTCCTGTTCAGAGATTAACGCCATTGAAACACAGCTGAAATCATCCACGGCGTGATAGGTTAAGGAGAAACGACGAAAAAGTTGAGAATGAGAATGATTTGAATCAAACAATCCCCACCTTTTAGTCGTTTCTCCGACTTAAACAATGTCCCTCCCTCCACTACTATTGTCCATACTGTACAAAAGAACAAAAATCTTCGCTGATGCTTTTGAGAGCTGTGAGCTGAATTCCATCATTTGTCCAGCGTCATTTGAAGCAAGGTATGAGACGGAGAGAACTCCCCCCCTCCCGCTTTGTGTTGGTCATTGTCTCGCTGGAATCTGGGAATGCCTTTCAGACATGGGGGTGTGTGTTAGGTAACGATAGTCTGGAGTGTGTATAGGGATTGAACATGTTGGGGGTACCCCTCAGTATAATTTCTTGCTGGGTATATCCAGCGTTGGCTAGCTATGTACATTTGCATGCACATAAAAGCTTCATTCCTGTCTCAAGCCGTTGAGTAACCTCTCAGCTGAGTGTACAACTATTTTTTTTTATTATTCACAGGCTTAGTACATGCTTTACGTGAAGTTACACGCAGACATGCTGTCGACGCCATCAGTGTATCGTAGGGCACACACTTTCTTACGGTCCAAATGTATTTGCATCTACATTTTGGTTGCGGAAATGAGCTAAATTTAAGTTACTAACGGTTATCGATATGACTGTATGGAACAGGGGACCTTTCACACCATCAACAAGCAAATTTCTTGAGTGACTGGTCTGAGAACTACAGTTCACTGTCTCTTCAAATGAAGTATACGTTTACAACCCTGGAAGTACATGCTTACTGTTTGAGATCCCTCAGTCACCTAAGGAAGTTCTTTCGTTTGGAATATGCATGCGTTTGGAATATCATCCCATTCATCTGGGAAGTTTCGTACGTAAGTTTCTAAACGATTAATCTGTTTTGCAAAATTGTACATGAATTATGATTGTTGAAGATGTTTTTAAAAATTGTTTAATAACAGAGGAGTTAAAACCGAGGTTGGGAGAAAGTTCCATATACGGACGCCAGTTGACAACCTGTGCACAAACCCTGTGAGACTGGGTGTTTTCTCAAATTACTTGGTGTTTCCCCTCCTATATTGATCTTTTCTGGACATGATTTTGCTTCCTGATGGCTATTAAGTCACCATAACTAAGAATTACTTTTCTTCTGAGGCTTAACCGAAAGTAATGTGGCTAAATGTGAATTTTTAAATAAATGCACAAAGAAAAATAATAAAAAATTATACGTAGGCCTAAGCATCAGAATATACATCTAAATTAAACAGAAAAGGGATGAAATAAAACTAACATGGAAGGATCTGTAAAATTGAAACTTAAATGGGAAGGGGTATGTAGAAATGAAGGGGGCACATTGAAAACATTATATAGTGCAACGTAAGGAGCGGCTCACGTTAATTGAAAATCACTAATCTCACAAAATGTTACCGCGTCAAATCTAATAATTTGATCGTCTAAAACTTTTTTCTCTACCGCGTTTGGCGTTGTTATCTAATGTCACAAGTGATTTTTGTGTTCATCAAGTAAAGCTTTATCTATCAGTTTTTGAAGCATTTCCAAACTGTGCATTCTATGAAACTGTACATTCTTAAGAATAATCGACAATTTACTGAATAGGGTGACGTCACAACAAGTGTTTTAGCAAAGATCCCCGTATCAGGAACTTAAGATTTTTAGCTTAATACATGCAATAGATATATGAACGTCCACACACTGTAAGCTATTACCCCCAACATGACTCCCTTGACTCTGTCTACTTGATTTTGCCAAAAAAGGCCAGATTTTGGGCTCTCTGCAGGTTCTAGTTTATGTAACATAGCGCCGTTGTGGCAAGCGTTCGATGGTCATCTGTTGTTCCCGCATTGTACTGAAGAAAGGTTGCATTCCGTTGATGTAGAGAGCGTTAGTGACTGCAATTCAATGGACTGATTGAGCTCGCTAAGCAAAATGATATCGAACATCAGAAAACATTGCGTTTTCCCATCACAAACTGTGTTATGAGTATTGTTTACAGAAGCCAATTGTCAATGAAGTACTCAGCACGTCAGCGGTTTCAGCAATGTACTGACTGTCGGCTTTATTTTTTGGTAAATGACACTTTGCTACGGACGCACTGTGCTAAAGGATGACGTCATGCTTAATGGTGTTTGACAATTACCATACGTCACTTGACTAAGCAGGCGCAATCGGACAATTAGGACACGTTCATGAGACGCAGTGCTTACGATAAGACCTAAGTGCGGTTTCTTTGAGTATTTTGCTATTTATTCAAGCTCTTCCAAAAGTCTCCATTCTATGTTATGTTGCTTGCTGTTCACTTTAGTGACTTAGGACTCTGAATAAAAAACAATGATTATCTGGTTTCAGAGTGCTGGGGAAAAAACCAAGGTGCAGTGAATGGCTGCTGAATCACAGGAAACGTATTCCCAATTTGATTGCCCAACTCCCGTGTAGTTTACAGAATTATTTCTTTTATTTAAATGCTTCAACAAAGCACATCGGCAATGGTGTCACGTGAAGACATTCATGCGTAACTCCATACATTAACGCAAGGGCTGAACTGAAAGGAATCAAAACACCAAGGCAGAAAAGGGAGAGGGGAAAGCAGGAAAAGTAGCGCGTAACAGTAAAAACATTATGTTATTGTCACACATGTACATGTACTTCTGATACAAAGACTTTCTTCAGCTGACCCTGGAACCTACCAGCAACAAAACAAGCGACAAAAAATCAGATTTAGGCAAACTTAACAGTATAGTCCTCGCGTCCATCAGTGCACATTATGCAACAGAGTTGCCTCTCATCATTTGGCGTTGCAGTTTATTTCTTGACTTTCATGCCTGCCATTTCAGCCGAAATGTCAGTATGCCCCTAATCTGCATGCAAAAGATTTTATGTATAGGTCAGTAGCATTTTGGCAAAGATGCCATCATAAAATTTACCTACTATTAACCCAGAGCAATTTCCCAATACACAGTCATTGTGTCCATTCAGTGGGTAGGAGTTTGGTCTTCACCTCCAATTTTTCCCGACCGACCCCACTTACGACGCAGAGGGATCTGAGAACCATTGAATAAAAGAGATGCCTTCATAGGCAAATGCATCAACAAACACGGGATTCAGGAAAGCATAAAAATTATTTTATTCACTATGAGTAAGAAATTACCGCATAACAGTACTACTACTACTACCGTGTAATACAAATGCGTATGTTTGATACAAGTCTGACCTTTTATCGGATTAGATTAACCCTAACTCCCAAGGGTGTATGTAAAATCCTACGAAAATTGGAGGATTTGGGACTGTTAGGGTTAATCATCATCCTCGTGATACGACGAAGTCCGATACGATCCGACTATTAGACCTGAAAAAGTCTCCGGTTTCTGATCTGGGGATGGCTCCAAAAGTGGTGAGACAGCGAGGCTTTTTCTTTGCCCTCCCTTTCGTTCCTAGAAAAGCTACCGACCTCGAAACAGACTGGCCCCTTACTGTTACTGTTTGAAATTGTTTCCAGCTGGCAGATGTACACAGGACATAAGACCACCTCGTTCGTCTGGCTCCCAGATGTAAATGTGTAATTCAGAAATGACGTCATCTGAAAAGGTGTGCCCGACTAAATAATTGAAGGGCCAAGACGGATTCCTTTACTGTATGATTAAGCAGTAGCAGGATTCCAATCGATCAAGCAAGTTTCGGAGCTTCAGGACACCGTATACAAATATTAAAAAAAAAATTATATTTTGCCGACGAGCAGTGCATGGCGACGCGCACGCTAATCAGAAACCGGAGTTTTTATGGGCCTTATTTGGCCTCACAGTCTTTTGCTATTGCTTTTAAATTCTTTTTAAACATTGCTGCAGCGTATTAAAACCCAACCCCAGTAACTGTTGACACCTTATGTACCTCTTTCACCCAAGGAAGACTGCATTGCAAGGCACTGTCACAGATCATTGTCTATTCTATTTTTTAAGTACAAAACTTTAGTAATGTCATTGTGTTTTTACCTCAATCCTGAGAAAACTAGCAATTTAACATTTTTAACTAAAACCTCAACTGTCGTATTAAGTTTTTTAAGCTATCTGAACTTTGTACACATTCAGATAAACTTGAGTTTTACATGAAGTGGAATGAATTTACGCGAAGTATATGTTTTAGCACTTCAAAACCATGACACACTCATTATAATAATTGTACAATCCTTAAATTCCCACCACCAAATTTGGAGTATACTAAAGGTGTCAAATGCATCAATTTCTTTCTCTTTTCAGTAAACAACATAGATGTCTTCAACCAAGCTCTCTCCTCACAAAGGGAGTCCGTTTGGTCTTGGAAATTCACATTATTAAATGGCTGAGACGTAATTTGGAGCTCTTTTTCTGAACCAGTCGAAAAATCTTCATTAATTATCTCATATGTTAAGAATTGTCTCTTTTTGAAAAGGGTACGATCAGTCCCCCAACCCGCTAAGATTCACCAGTACACTCCTAAATATTGCCCTAAGCAATGATTATGAACTTAATGTACCACTATGTACATCATCATGGTCAAAGTAACGTCACTGCGAATTTTGCATTCTTTAAAGTTAAATCAGTCTTAAGAAAATGCAGAACACCTTACTCCATAATAAAAACAAGTAATATTTGTAATGCGAAAAGATCTACAATTTTCATCAATTTAAACCAGATCAAACCCTTATGTTTTTAACTGGCGTTTCAAACTTGAAAGAAGTATGTCATGAAGAAAACAGCTCAAGGTATTCCAAACATGGAGTTTGGGTACAAATTTCATGACTGCACGCATAACACGTTTTTAAAAGCAAATGCCGCATACACACGGAGGCATGACGCTCTGCAAAAACTAGAATATATTTTGCCTAAAACTTGCTGTTAAAAGTACCAAAACACGGAATGATGAAGTTGTTTGCAACGCTACAAAACTACAGATCGTTCACTACAAAAATGAAAATTACGATACCAGTTAATGTTCTTTTCTTTAAATTCCGCCACATACTCACAGATGTTTCTGTTTCGCATGTTTTCCTCTAAACAGTTTTTAACAAATATTTCAGCTCTTATTTTAGTAAAAATCACAACACACAATTTAACTCTGTAACGATTGTGGGGATGTGTCACATCCGACAAAATGACCAATACAAGTAATGAGTTACATGTACATCAGATCAAAACTATAATTTGTATTCGTTATAAATGTAACTTTTTTATAGAAAACTATTCCTTTCAAGGGAAAAATAGATTAGATTTTACGTGCAGGAAAGTACTACAATGAAACTATGAAAGGAATGAATTTGAAGCAGGTGTTTTGAATACATCAGTACACAGCAATGAGCTTCACGATCAGTGTGAAGATTTAAGTTACCATTGAACAATTTTTTTTTAAAGTCCATCACAGATTTTGCGTATTGTAGACGTATTTATTTTCAACCGTTTTTCCAATTCTACGGAAGAGCAGCTTGTTCACAAAATAAGTATACGCACACGAATTCCAATCCTACGTATTTATTTTGTAATGGTTAACTTCATTGTCCCTATGAAATTAACACAAATTAGTAAAAAATATTTGAAAAACGTGGTCTTTGTTGCATTTTGATTGTTTGCTCTAATCTAATTACACAACGGCCCGTTGGTGTATTGGTGGTCATTGTGTATCACTATATCTGAGTTGTGATCTTGGATATCACAACCACTGTTGATATGTTGGTGGTCATGGGTACAGTCTATAGTGATCTTTGTTGAGATTGCTTGACTTCTTAATCCGGTGTGCCCTAAATCTGTGGTATTAGATGAAGAGTTAAACGTTAATTAGAATAGAAGCTGTGGCGAGAGACACAGACACACAAAATGAAACTGCCTTGTTTGTGTGCCTGTCTTTCAGGAGTTTGAGTATAAACATGAAATAAACAGAGAAAAGACTACATAACCATGATACTTCACCGAAGTACATGTTTCAGTCATATATATCATTGCTCTGTCACGATGACTGAAAAGTTAAAATGATGTACTATACTGCAATTCTTCAGACAAATCGTTACCGAAATTTAGGTAGGGTGGATTTGACTGTGGGTGTCTTTCTTTTAATTACCCCGTGCATCAGAGAAGAGGAATTCATTGAAATTTGCATCATAGTAAAAACTGACAATTGAACATAGGATTTATAACAAAACAACGAATTCTTGTTGAAGCGGCTGTAAGTTTCTTAAAAGGAAAGGAAGAAAATTCTTAAGACTGGTGTGTGTGATCCTCTTCCTTATACACCTGCGCCTCCTCTCTTGCTTTTAAGTCCCGGCTTGTTTGGGAGTTGACGTGAACCTAGATCAATGGTAACAGAGAACGATATTGGCAAATTTTCCTCTATACGCCATCTAGGGATTTACGGCTGCGCTTTCCGGAATGTGGCCTTCCATTTTCAAAGTAGTCTGATCGATTCGGAATGTGTAAAAATAGACTTACACAATTTCAGCCTCCGACTTAGGTATAACGACTTGCTCATTGTTTGGTCGGCTACATAACCTGCAAGCAAACTAAAGTTCTTGTCCAGACCTGATTGCATGACATCCAGATTCCCTATCTTGTAAGTAATGCTGCTCTTTAGGTTTGTGTTTGGGAAGTGTGCAAAGCAGTTAATGTATGTCTTGGAATTCTGTATAACTTCAATGCTTTTAGTGTTGAGTATAAACGAAATGTGCTTTGAAATACATTGTAATTGTGTAAGAGGTAATATTTACACTACGATCAAATCAAAACTATTCTGTTAGGCTGTTGTTACCTTACAAACAATTCTTCCAAGAATGACTGGACACTGGAGTTTGGGGCAAAGTGGGGCACATTCTGTTCCTTGTTGTTCAACAGGTGGATGTTGGCTCCATGTTTGAGGAGGGAGGTAATCAAGGCAACTAGATTTGTCATTTCGTCTTGACCACTGCCATCCTGTTCAATTTTCTTGACAACATCCCAAAGCTGTAAGCAAACCGTTGATTTCTATTTATTATTCCCTGTTAGTTTTAGCAACGGGAAAGATACCAGACAGAATTTTTATCAGAAATAGAAATGAAAGCTACTCTACATTTTTACAAAGTAAGGAGTTTGATCAGAGCAAATGGGTAAAAAACAATATTGCGTTCCACTTTATTGCAACCTTAATTTCAGCAATTGGAATCAAAAGTTTGGGGGTTGTCCATTAATATTCACTAATTGTGGGCAAGCTGAACCTTCAAAATGTTTCTAGAATGGATGTAAAAATACAAAAATCGTTATAGGGGGTCTAGCTTCTCGAGTTATAATCTTTTTTAGGGTATCCCCTACCCTGTTTCGTAGGCTCTCACCTCTTCTTTGGATGCAGACCTAAGCATAGTTTGCGTGGATTCTTTCATCATCACCAGGTGAAGACTGGTGTTGCCCCCATTGTCCTTGGCATTCACGTTGGCACCATTGTTCACCAGCGCTTCGATGCACTTGTAATGATTTTTTTCTATGGCAATATGAAGTGCTGTCTGCGAGTTACTGTTCTGGAGATCTTTATTGCAGTTACCCTTATAGTGAAGACAAAATGCTATGATGTCACTTTAGGAAAATATACTGACAATTTTAGGGCTTTTCGGTGCAAATTATGAAGCATTTGCCCTCAGACAAGCAGAAAAACGTGTGCGGACGTTCGTTGTTAACAAACAAAAAATTGTGACAGAACGTTGTTGCAGAAAATAAAGACAGATGGGGTAAAACAGACTTTTAAGGCTTCAGTTTAAAATCTTTTTTATTAGCCATTTACTAAGATTGATATGCAGGTATCAAGGTTTCGAGATTATTATTTACATCGCCCTGAATGTTCTCTCGCACCTGTTTGGCCAGGGTTTGTACTACATCCGCGTGGTCGTAGAAGGATGCGATGTGTAGTGGTGCTAACGATCCGTTTCTATCATTGATCACTGACTTCTTGGCTTTTAGTATCTCCTTCACAGCACTGGAGGTTTAAATCAGTCAATTCACTCAAGTGAATTTTTTAAGTAAACTCACCTGAGGGGTAAGGCAGTTGTTCTGACTTGTATCAAACGTTTGTTGAGCCGATAAATTAAGATTTTCACTAGAAATTTACTCAAATTTGCTTAAAATTTGGAATATGTTGGCGGGCATTTTATCTTATAAAGTGTGGTATACATGTTCTTTAGTTGCAACGTTTTTGACGCTAACAAATAAGGCACGCTAACGTTCCTGGAAGCCAAAACGTAGGGCTACACCGAAAAGATTGAACGGCAGTGTTTACGGCCTGAAATCCTCAAACCAAATGATTTTTGTTGGCTAATGGACACGGATCATTACTTCCGTTTCACAATATCCTTTGAATCCTACAAGGGTTTTAATATACTTTTATTCAGCCGTTTGTGAAAAGATGTTAAAATATGCTAAGACAAAAGTTTACAAACACCTTCAGTTATTAATGTCATGCATTCAGTAGCATAACTTTCAGCAACTTTTACTGCGTGTATCTAAGGTTATAGCCGTCACAAACTTCTGTCAGAAATCTGACGAGAATTCCACCATATCCGTACAGTCCATCCAGGTTTTCTGGACTTTTTCTTGAGTTTCATCAAGAGATTCTCAACAGAATTGCAGTCAGGCCTCCAGAAAGCCTATTCAAAATTTGAATCTTTTCCTACACTCAATCATTCCCATGCCACCTTTAAAGTGTGCTTGTTGTCACTGACTTGTTGAAAGATCTAGTTTGCGCCAATATGCAGCCTCCTGAAAGTTGGTTTCACACTTATGGAAATTAAGGTTATCTTTCCTCGCGATCCCATTCATTTCTGAGTGAAATTCCATTCGATGCAAAAATGTCCTAGAGAGCAAGATAGTAGCACCACCATGTTTGAGAATTGGCATGTGCTACTGGAATCGAAAGCTTCTCTTCCTCCCTTCAAAGAGTACTTCTGGTCAATAATGGTTGAATAAACTCAGTACTTGTCTCGTCAGACCAGAAACCCTACCTGCAGAAATTCTTCCCTTTCTTGATGTACTCACAAACAAGCTTCAGTCAAGCCTGGATGATTTTCAAGGAGAGACTTCCTCTCGCACGTAGCCCTAGCCCTGGATCCTTTGCCACATCTGCTTGACTAACGACAATACTACCCTTTGTTCCTGTAGCCTCAAATTCTTGACAAACTTCTTTGTTGTTGTTACGGGCGAGATTTGTCAGAAGATTTATTTCAGAATTTTTCGGATCTTCCTGATTTCAGGATTTTTAAAACCGATTTCTTTCACAAGAGTTCTCACAAACGGTTTTTAGCAGAAAGGACGTGTTCTGGAATGTCACAAAATAGCATATATGATGCAAAAGGAAGGGCAGATGTCTGACCCAGCATATTTCAGCACCTTTTCACAAACAGCTGAATTGAAAGGTTCCTGAAGTTCAAGCGGGGTCCTAATTAGTACCTGAAAAGGGAGAGCCATAGAAAGGATTTGGTTCAGGAAACAAAGCCGCAGTCGTTGTCCTGGTGTCTTTTCAGTGTGGTTGTGTATAAATTTTGTCTTCAACTGCACTACATTTTATGATAAAAGCCAGCATGATACACAATCGACTAAATAGATAATTAATGATGCGTACTCATCATTCCCACTGAAGGCTGCAAAATGCAAGCAGTTGTCCCTGTTGTTATCTCTCAACGTCACATCAATGTTACCGTGCCTTAAAAGCATCCGGATGAGATTCTGGATCACCAGTAATGATTTTGCAACGCCTTTCTGTGTGTAGCAATTAAAATGCAAGAAAGGAAAGATCCCGTTTGCGAGCAGGTCGGTTGTATTAATATTCAAGGCAATCACAGCATTTCTCTATTACATCTGGATAGGGTAGGATAAATAGCAAGTGGATGGCAGCCTTTTGTTTTGTACCCTTGCAGTAGTCAAAAGAAATAAGCGTGTTTAAATCAGTCAGACTTCGGAGTCATTGAACATGAGACCTCAAAACGAGTTTGCAAAACGTTAGGGCAGGAGGCTATGATTAGTATACGTCTGTTTCTTGTCGAGCGCTGTCTTGTCTTGTCTGTAATGCTGTTACAGTTATAATAATGTCAACCCGCAAAAGAAATACACAGAGAACATGCAAAATACAAGAGGAGTCACAAATTACGAGACCGATCAGCTAGCCAGCTGTACTGGCCTTATCAGCGGGCAAGGTTCTATTTTCCCCTTATTTACTCGACAGGTGAGACAGCAGTCATCGAATGAGTGACCAAGGGGTTTTTATCACATAAATAATCCCAATTGCTCAGAGAAGACCTGTAAGCCATGACCGCACACGTGGGTGTATAAACTTTTATAAGGGAAACGTTCGACTGAAATAACGATCAGAGCTCTAATTATTGGATTTCAGGGGTCAGAATATCGTTCCCTAAAGAATATCACATTCATAAACCTCAATGTTTGGAGCTATTTTTGCCGAAATAATCCTATTCTAATTCCCCAATAATGATTAATTCATTCGTATGCGTTTTAGATCCCAGGAGGGTACAATAATTGAGCTCACTGTGCTACCTATAATACCTCGTATCTTGAACACTGTTTGGAATTTCATGACTTTGCGTGACCAAGGTATGCAAGATTTGACATAGGACTTGAATGTTCTAGCTTATTGCAGTATTTGAGATTCAAGAAGTCAGTGATAAATATTTCAAAATCTGCATTTGAGAATTTGAATTTTGCATAATATGTAAAGCACGGAATAATGTGATTTCTTTCCCAGTGTTTGTTCAGGTATTCTATCATTGCCTTAAGATAAATCCTTATCCAGTGCGTTCAGCAAAAATCTCATTTAAAAATGAAAACCTGTTTCTTGGCAGTGGAACCTGTGGCTTCTTTGAAGGATTTCTCCAAGAGTAGATGCAGGCATGTGTCTCCATACTTGTCTTGGGCGTTAACATTAGCTCCTGTGTTCAGCAGAATCTCCACGCTTTTGGTGTTACAACTGTCAGCGGCCAAATGGAGGGGAGTCTGGCCGTTTATGTTTGGAATATTTAGGTTGCAGCCCTGATTGAAATTGAAACAGATTCAAAATAGCCGTATAGAGTAGGTGAACCAAGGATGGCAAACACAGTGTATGTAACGGAGGTCGGTGATAAAGCCCTTCAGTATCAGTATTTTCATTTTGGCTATGCTGCCTCAAATGTTAGTGCAAAGTCCTTATTCATGAGAAAACCGAGGCAGAAAAGCTTGATGTTACATGGTGTTCAGCGCAAATTTCTTTTCAAATTTCACACATTGTAATCATGATGATTCATTTTGGTGAGCAATGTCGCCAGTAGGGCAGTGATCAACCCCTTCTCTGACATATTTCAAGAAAAAGAAAACAATGTTCCAAGAAAGATGTCATTGCAAAGGTATCCTCAAACGCTTGGTATATTACCACAATTTCAAATCCCTGGACGGAAAAGGGATGTTAAATCAGGGCTTTTACGTAAGGTTTTTACAGCAAAATGACAGTTTGGGGAACATGGAAGCATTTATAATATTGTATTTTTTGATATAAGCCCTACGCTGAAAATGTTATGCTTCACTGAATTAAACTGAGCGTTTCTCCCTTGAATAAAAAAACTTTTAGGCTGCATTTTTTGCAGTAAATTAAATAACTTTTCAAACAGGAAACAATCTAAAAAAAAATTGTAGGTACCTTCTAGGCATATAAATCAAAGCAGGGACAACCTCAGTCCTAATTCTTTTCCTTGCTCAGGATACTACTCAAGTCAGCACTACTGAAATGATTCTTCTTTCCTCCTTTAACCACAACCCATGGGTATGTGTACGTAGGTTTTCGTAGTAAGGATACCCATTATAATGTATTACTGGCGCACTTCATATACTGGTATTTTACTTAAAAGCCTCCTTTATCGTAACGGTAGTGGTTGAATCAGTTGCGCCTTTTTATTCATTCCAAAAAGTTTTAACTTAATGTACTTTTCGCCGACAATCCGGGGAAACTGATCAGGTGCTTACATATTAATATAAAGATGAACAAAGAATTTGACTGGTGCGGCCTCCGGAACAACGTTGTGGTGTTTGAATACTGAAACTTACAGCAAAAACCAAAAGGCACTAAAAAGCTGTGGAAATAGGATACATCGGGGACAGGGACGCATTTTTGGTCGGATTCTACTTAGAGAGAAATAGCATTGGCCTTTTAAAACAAACGGCCTCACCTGTTCGCAGAGTGCGGCCACAATATCAGTGTGATTATTTAGAACAGCGAGGTGTAGGGCTGTCCCTCTGTCCGCTGTGCAAGTAGTGTTGATCAAGCTAGGCTTTGCTTCCAACATAGTCTTCACGGCACTGGAGACAGAAAAATGTTGCAGCTGGACCTCACCATAAGAACGAACTTTTGCAAATATGCAACGTGTCTGAAATTTACTGAACTTGCACTGAAATATACCTAAAGTGACTTCATTATAAAAAAAAAGCCTTAGCTGTGTCAAGTCACAGTTCAATCATTAAAGACGAATAGCCGCTTTTCGCCAAATCATGAAGTATTGAAATGTGCTCAAGTCCATTCAATGGTTTTATTGTTACCTTAACAATTTTAAACGATTCAGTTTATACTAAATAAATTCTTAACAATGAGCCAAACGCACAAACTGTTCCCATTGATGGCTGCACTATGTAAACAGTTGAAGCCTTTCTTATCTGTCAGTGTCAGGTCGACTGTGGGGCGTTCTACCAACAACTTGATGACTTTCTGGTATTTTTTTATAGTAGCAAGGAATTGATAATCCACTTCTCCGTCGTCCTTCAAAAAATCATTCAAGAACGTTGATAAGTTGATAAGTAATGTCGGCAGGCTAGAAGGGATATCGGCAATACCAATAAACTATCAGTAATATAATGTCATTTCATCTGGTCAAAATCTGGTCCCAAAGTCGGCGTTGAGGGAATTTGTCTTTACATTGTGTCCTCTCTAAAGGGTAAAGTGAATGAAGTTTCCTGGGAAAAGCCTACTTTCATAGCGCACACCGCTGTAGGGCAAAAGTATGATACGCCGCAAAAAGTACAAAAAATGTAGCCAGCACCCAGTTCTGTATCTACCCAATAATGACAACCATGCGCATTGCATAGGTCGCGACCATAAATCCAACTGATAAAGAAATTGCGGGTTGTCTCGCTTGGGAGATAACCCTCATTGTCACTGCGTGCAACGTACATGTACACTTGCTAAGCAAACGCAACGCTAGCGAATTTTGGCGAAACCGCCGCCTGCGGTCATGTGATACATTAATTTCTTTTTATTGTACCTGGTACAAAACCGAGTCTCTTTTACACTAAGCTTCGTGATATTTTATTGTTACCTTGGTACTCGACAGTTTGGAAACCTTCATGGAAACTTTTGCAATGGCGAGATGAAGGCTGGTGCTCTCGTGGATGTCTGTAGCGTTCACATCGGCACCGTATTCCAACAGAACTTTAATGCACTTGAGGTGACATTCGTCAACGGCCAGGTGTAGTGCTGTCTGCTTACTCGCATTTCTGATGTCCTTCCCGCAGTTTTCCTATGTGAGAGCAATGCAATCTAAAGAAACCCTAACTGTGATAAGAGCTTATAGTCCTGGTGGGCAAAGCTTCAAATTATTTTCAAACTTTCAGCATGAAATTAGACGTTCTCTTGTAGCACTCTTCGAAGTTTCAAGAGATGTCATGACACAAGTGGGGTAGTATCCATGGTAGGGGCTAAGAAATAAACCCTCCTGCATCTTTAGTGACCAGTTCCACTTTTTCATGTCATGTGGTGTGCAGGCTAATATGTCCTGCAAATGTCAGCGTTGTCTGATACTGCCCGCAGATTCCTACCTTCTGTAGAAGAGCTGTTAATATGTCTGCAAATCCATTGCTTGCGGCAATGTGTAGCGCCGTTTGACCGTCATTTCCTGTTGAACGGATCAAGGATGGGTTCGCCTCCAAAATCTTTTCCACCCCACTATGAAAATGAAACATGGTTATTTATACCGGTGTGTTATGCTATTGTTGAATACTGTCTTATTTCTATTTGTCCCTAGTCTAAAAAACACTGTTCTGGGTTCTCAAAGAAAAAAATTACCATACAACTACCACACCTACGCTGTCAGTGAATGCTTCTAATCACAAATTACAAATGAATTCGTGCGAACAATAGAAGGGTAACATGGGGATTTCAGTGGGGCTGGCTTGTGCAGTGTAAGCATAAGGAAAAGGGATCAACATGTCCGTTGATCCCTTATGATACTTCCCTTTCTTCCTAGTGTTTTCCGTCTTGTTCGTGCTGGAGAAGATCAATTTTAACAGTTATTTAATCTACCACCCAAATGTGTATCTTTGAAGTTTGTTTGGAAGAAACTAACTTTCACAGCATTATTGACAGAGCCCATGGCATTTGATTCACATAATACAAAAATAACCAGCAAGCTTTGAACGGCAGCACTTTGCTTTAAAAGCCAAATTTATTAGCAGTGGTTGCTGTTGTCGGATAACCTAAATAAAACAGTACAGAGAATGCGAACTGTTTTTACAATTTGTATATATCGTCCACGCATCAAGATCTCGTTTTCACCAGAATGACTTTTATTCCCAATTAAAAAATATTTCAAAAGGAAACTTACAACCTGTTCCCATTGAGTGCTGCGTAGTGTAAGCAGTTATAACCTTTGTTATTTTGCAATCCAATGTCGATTTGTCCATGGTGTAGCAGTGTCTCGATAATTCTCTGCTCATCTGTAGTGCCAGTGCCTGATGTTTCTTTGACGTCCTACCAAACATAAGATATCAGAGCCGTAAAACAGATATTATTCCAATTTGGGGAGTGGTCGAGTTGCTTTATATTGGATCCCCGCTTTTTAAAAGCAGAAATAAACGTCATCGTCTGAGAAAGTTTCCAAACTAATAGGAATGCTAAACTATTCCTATCCTCTGTGTGTTTAAAATGCACGCGAAAAAATGCCTTTGCCCTGAAATCACAGTTACCTTTCTCAAAAAAGGGCTTTTTTCTCAAGAAAACTAGCACTGACCACAATTTTGATAACTCGACAATTTTGTTGACTTGACTCGACTAGAGTCACTGCGTGCAAATGAATCGACTCAACTCGAGTCCCTCACCACCACAAGGCCCCCTTGTGTGAAAATTAATTAGACTCTCGAGTCCCATAGGTACAAACTATCTTCTTTGCACAAAGTATTTGTAAAGACTTTCAACGGCGATTTATAACTTTCATGTTATGTGTTATGAGGTGTGGTGTGACCACATGCACCAAACCACAGGTAATTTTTTAAATACCAAGAGTGACGGTCCCTCTTGTTTGTATTAATAGTATTGTGTTCATACATTTGTAACTCGAATTGACTCGATTCAACTTCACTCACCTTTTTGGGTTGATGACTTTACTCGAATCACCAAATTAATGACTCGACCCAACTGGAGTCACCGCGTTACAGTGACTCAACTCGAGTTTCAAAAGTGAGTGACTCGTTACAACTCCGGTACTAACAGCGCCACCCATTTTAATATGACCTAGCTCCGTCGAATCCTAAGACCATTTCATGGGATATCACTGTTATCATTAACCAAATCAAATCAACAATCAATCAAATCTAGGGAAAGGGAAGGGGAGGGGGAGGGGAAGGGAATGAAATGAAATGTTTACATATAACTACATGTGACTGACCATTGTGCGAATTAGTCATACAGATTGGATGAAATGGCTGCGTTGCTGGCTGGTGCGTAAATCATTAATTGTTTAGGGATGAACAGCATATTTCCTAATTGCCGAAATTGTACTTACTTTGTCTGTCAGGTTCTCCATAACCAAGTGGAGGCTGGTGTCACCATCTTTGTCTTGGGCGTTCACGTTTGCACCCCCGTTTATCAGAGCCTTCACACACTCAAAGTTCTTTTTTGAAGTAGCAAGATGCAGTGCCGTTTGGCCTTCGACGTTTTTAAGGTCTGTCACACAATTTCCCTGGTAAAGACAAGTACGGCAGAAAAGTACATGTAATATCAGAGTGCGGCTTGTGTGGCCTGTCAGTAATTGGGGTTTTAGGCTTCACTACTTTACCTGGAATTGTAACAATATTTAGAGTACTACAAACTCATCCAAACGTCATGCATATATCTTACCTGATTAACCAGGGTCTCCACGGCGTCCGTGCAACCGTTGAGGGCAGCGAGATGCAATGGAGCGAAGCCGTCATTTTTTGCCATGTTGATTAAGCCTGGTGCGACTTCGAGTATCTTATTCATCACGCTGAAAAAAATTAAACTGTCAGATTAGATGGATTTTTATATATTTCTCTAAGTCTTCAAATCCGCTTCATCTATCACCATAAATTATTTTGGGTTTACTTTTGCACTTGACAGAAAGACTTCTGAAACAAACATGCCATAGAAGTCTCTGTAAAAAAGTGTTTACTACGAAACACTTTTCTAAACATTTTCTTGCTGTTGAATTTTTAAACATGTTTGAATGCTTACTTCGCGTTTAACGAGGGATTCGAATAAGAAGGTCCACCATCTCCAAACTAGTATGACGAACACGTTTAAGCATTTTGGGTTTTGTTTTTATAAGAAGGGTTTTCACTTAATGATATATTATTTTAGAATCCTGGAGGTGAAGGTATGAGATTTTTCTCTACTACCAACAAAAAATGTTCATCGAGATCCGCAGGGCAAGAAAGTAAGAATTTGAAAGTTTTGGGAAGTAACTCGCCCTTGATTTCCTGTTTTATGAAGTTAACGTGACGCCATGTTTCGGTTTCGAATGACAATTTACGCGTTCATATTCAAGTGGTGGGTTGTGCCATCTTCAAGGAACGTCGAGGAAAATTACAATTTAGAAACAGGAGCTAGTTTTTGTTTCATATATTTACAAACACAAGATATTCACACAGGACTTTCTTTAATTGTACATTGTCCAATAATACCGAAAGAATACATGTCGAATGTTTTAATAAAGAAGAAATGCTTATGCTCACCTTTAAGACGAACGTGCAAGATGACTCGAAGTTAAGTTGCTAAGCAAGTTTCAAGAGAATTGACTACACTTTAATATTGATAGTGGGTACAAACTGAAAGTACGCCTGTAATGGCGTACATTTGTGCCGAAAAATAGAGAAATAGGGAATGGGGGATATGTGAGGGGGTGACTTGCATCGGTATGGAAATTGAACGGGGGGGTATTGTTCAGACGTATATCTGTTATTTGAAAAACACTCCTGCAGAACCTTACTTCATTGCTTCTATGGGTTTTTATTTTTCGCTGTTTTTGAGTGCTATAAATTACATTTTGGTTGCTGGAAATTCCAAAAAATTATTTCGCCATTTGCATTATTATTGTTCTCACCACGAAAAAGTGAGGGATGATTCAGCAGCCCATCCCCCCCCCAAAAAAGTGGTAAGGATATATACCCCCATCCCCAGGATTTACTTCCATGTACTCATGTATTCCGGTGTGATGACGACAGTACTAAAAAAAGTTCAAATGCTACCTCTTGTCTGATGCAACAATGCTGATGCAACAAAGTGACAAGTGTGATGAGTCGATGAGGTATTGCTATGTGACATTATAGTCACTCTAGAAAATTGCATTGGTTGCAGGTCCGCCCGATATTTTTAAGATTCTGTTGCTAATAATTATGTATCACTGTCTGGCACGTATTAAACTATTATTGACAAATCACAGACTAACATGCTCACTGGCCCTAATAGCAATAAATTGATGAAACTGTAATTAAATAAACGCCACGTGGCGGCAGAACATTCTAAACTGCCGCTCTTAAACTTTTGAACGAGCTTCTACTATTTTTCAGATGGTAAGCTAAGTCTTTGGTTGATTTAAAGAAACTGCGTGTGACTTATCTGTTTATCAATATACTCAAGTCTGCATCTTAGTTGTTTTAGTAACTCTGATTTGTCGATGCTCACTTTTTTTGCGTCTATGAATAATTGTCAGTTTTTTATCAAAGGTAAAATTACAGTTTAACAACATTTTAACACTTTTGTAGTAGTTTAAACGTAGTACATGTATGGTATTTTTGGCGATTATCCAACGGGGTTAGGTTTATTTTGTAATCGACTTGTTTTTACATCGGAATTATTTTTATTACTGAAGTTCTTAGAGAAAATTCGGTTTTACGACATTATGTAAATTCAGTTATATTGTTTCAGTTACCAGTATCAAATATCACCGGACACGAGAAAAATTGCATGAAATCCAGGATGTCCTTGTGTGACAACGTTGTCAGGACCTAAGTTGTGCTTAGGAAAGGGTTATGTGTCAAGTAGCGCCTGTTGCATTGTCTTTTACGTGTTTTTGGCATAATTTACGGTTTTGCCTGGTTGCTTGAAACTGTTGACTGCTTTCCGGGTTTCATTTAATTTTATTTATTTATTATTTCCTGCTTGTCGCGTTCTTGCAGGGCATTAACGTGTTTTAGTTGTTGGTTTGAATTGCTGGTGATTGATCAACAATATCAAATCGGAATGTTCCTGAATATTTCACAACATCAATAAAGCAAAAGTGTGATCATGATTAACCAATTAAAAAAGCCAAAAACATATGAAAGCAACATAATGCGTGGTGAAAGGGTTTTACTTGATTAGCATGGGGACCATTACGATATTAATATGTTTTGCTAAGCCCGACCACCTAAAAAGTTCAGTCACATTGGCTTATCATTCCAGTGGCGAGGAATCTGGTTGTGGTTGGCAGCGACAAATCCTCCTGCGAACATTGTGAAGTTTTGTAGGCGCTTCCCAAAACAGATGTTATCATTTCCCTTTCATGGTTTAAAATTATAAGAAACAGATCATCTTTTTCCACAAACGTTTTGCCAGTTCCAACCTGAAAGCATCACAAGCAGAATATAATTTGAAACATAAAGCGATTTTAATGAAGTGTACGTACTAAATATTTCCTGAACCTGAAGCATAATGCAGACAGCTGAAGTCTTGATTGTTTTTCAATGACAGGTTAGCATTTCTGTCTTTTACCAGCAGTTCAATCATGTCTTGCCGAGTGGCATCGGATTCCTTGACCTGAAAAGGGTGGGAAAATACCAAAATAAAGCCTGTGCCTTCAATACAGGAGCATGTAGTTTTTATTGCCACATGCATTTCTAAGAATACTGTTTGCAATGATACTGTGACGACTTGGCTTATAAAAGTTTAGGTTTCAGTTTAACAATGATGTCATTCTTCTTTGTGCCTGTGCAAGACAAGTCTGCTGGGATCCGAGCGGCATTAATATAATTAGCTGCGTAGTTCCCCATGTAGTTGTGCATGACTTGTGTAAGACAGCGCGAGACTGGTGCAAGTTTATGTTTGGTCTAGTTTGTGCCATGTCCGGCGCTTGCGGTGCAGTCAGTCTCGAAGCCTGGTCTAGTGAGTTAATTCCCCGCTGTGTTTCCGCTCCTTTAATATAAAGGAACCATGTTACGTGAGGAGAACGCGCCGCAGAATAAAATTAAAAGACGGGAACAAGGACACTAAAATACGGTCAAAGGACAACAAAGGAACTAATTTGGAATAACATTTAATTATAAACTTAAACCAGCAAAGCAATAAGTTAAAGCAAAGTAAATCTAGTGCTTTTTTTGCAACTTAAACTTCTCATGCGAAAACACCGTGAATTTGGACAAGCAAAAGCATAAAAGCAAACATATTTATATTAGCACAGCGAAGCATAATTATACAAAGAAAATTAACATGCCGGCAAAAACATGTTAATTCAAAAAGAGGCAAATTATATTCGGCCGAGCACCATTACCTTAAGAAGCTAAAACAAGAAAGAAAAATGAGGCCCCGCCTAGTCAGTGTCATGGCTGAAAGAGCGCGGTCGTCGGGCCAAGCACCTGCACACGGCGCCCCAGTGTCGATCCCCGAGATTCGGCTTCTGCATGGAGCCACGACACTCCAGGATCCACGGTTCAACACGAAAAAACCTGGGTGGGTTCAAG